AACATTTGAGAAAAGGTGATTGATGTGTGTTGATAGATGTCCTACAAGTACAATGTGCAGCTGTGTCATTCATGAAAACTTACTTTGTAAAAAGTTGTAAATATATAACATGATAGAATATACTATTGGATGTTTCTGCATCGTTGTATGAGAACTTTCTAAACTTGAAAATGCTGCATTGCATTTAATTTAACTGCTTCTGCTTACTGGTTCCGTTTTGCATTTGTTTCAAGCACATATGTACATACATACATACATACGTATTTGCTTTAAGCAAATCAGTCAATGGCAAATTGTGTGGTTAAGCGCGTGTGCAGAAAGCAATTATGTAATTACTTGCCTATACTTTATAATCGCATTTGTTAGGAATTGCTTGCTGTTAGGCCGATGGCACTCCAAAGATCGCTGTGTGTCTGTGTCTGCCACCACCACCCGATTAAGACTTATTGCTGTCAGTACTGTTAGATCATTGTAACGGTAGGTGTGTAGAATATGTGGCATACATGGATTTGAAAATGCTTTGTGGCCATACTAATTTTTAAATGTCATGGGTGCGTCGTCATCAGTATTCAATTAAAGCCAAGTCTCAACGCCTTTCTTCACCTACCACGCCCACAAGTGAACTGCAAAGCTGCGATTCTCCATACGAGGGAATACGTGCGTACCCGTAGATAGATATGCGGTTAATCCGTAATTTAGACTCCGACTCCGCGCTTGTTGGTAACTCATCCAATCATGACTCGTATGCTTATCGTCTGTGGGAAGAGCAGCTAGCAAAAGCGGTTAGATTTGTTTGTTTTTAATTACTTGGTTAAAGCCTAACGGTTTTTGTATCTAATGGTCCTCTCCCCCTTGCTGTTAGCTTGTGTATTGGTGTTGTCGTCATTGTCGCTTCCGTTGAGACTCTCTGTCTCAAGTTCTATCTAAATGAAATGCACTTTTAGTTCCGCATTGGGTGGCGTTTGCTTTTTCGCGCCGTTTACTACAGCCATGCATATATGTATGTATGTATGTAGTATATATAAGAGTATGAGAGGTATACACTATACTTATGTGTGTATTGTGTTGTCAGTTTGTCTTCACTGACTCTTCTCTTTACGTATGCACTGCATTCGTTTGGGTTGGCAGTTCTGCTCCAGTAAGGACGCCGTTAGATCTATTACGAAACTGCACTTGTTGTACAGATTGCACATACACATGTACACATCTGTACTCGTATATACATAGAAACATACATATGTATGTATGTATAATTATTTATTCATGTTGATTATAATTTCAACAGTTCTGTCTGTGAAATGCACGTAATATTGTAATAAACACACGGAGAGAAATGTATAGTTATGTAAATAGATGTATTTACACTATCTATAGAGGACCCACGACCTGTTGGTGCTCTAACATCTTAAAAAAAACGGAATAGTTATAATATTGAGACACAGGGTACCTACATATATGATTACACGTTTGATTAAAATCTTGTTATTGTCAACGATCCATCTATAAAATATAAATCATAAAATGAAATATATTTGGATTCACGTAGCAATGCAAGTTATATTGGTGCCAAAAATAATATTCTTTTCATGCTTAGCTTTTTTTAGCATTAAGGTATTGATCGGACATCACACTAATAAAGAATACATATTATCTTAAGATCAACAAAGCCTTTTACCGATTCCATTCATCTCATTGATGTTATTAATTGATTCTGCTGATTTCACTTTTATGTTTTGCCAAGCATATTGCATAAATTTGAAGAGTAACATAAATAAAACGACAATTATGACATCCCTAATAGATAAAAACCTCAGGCTTGTACAATAGTCGGAGCACTGATTTGCAATCACTTTCAAATTTAAACTGTCTTGTCTGGGTATTGATTTGTCGCTTTGTTGTGATGATTCAATTTTCGCTCTTTTAACTTATGGGCAAAGCAACACTGAAAGCAATGCGATCTGATGCGTTCGAAACTAACTTTCCTTTTCGATGATGGTTTGATAAACATTTCATTGACATACCATGAATGCGCCAGTCTAGCCCCTCCTAACCATCTGCATTTCACTTTCTTCGCTGATATTTTGTTGATACATAATTTATACGAAAAGTAAAGAGACTGAAAAGTAGCCAGACAGACACTTGTAATCTGGTCGAAAAATCGGTCTTGCCGAGCACTCATAAACTCGTAAAATTTGTTGTCGCGAAATCAAGCAAATACACACAAGTTGCACATTTCTTCAGCACATGTCAAAAGTGTTTCTGCTATTGCTCGTACATGGTCGAGATCAAATTCTCATCAATCATTCTTTCATTTCGTGTCATCAAATCAATGTTACTGCAATACAATTTCACCGACAGAGAAAATCGGCTAATGCGAGAAATTTAATCAACTTATGCGTGGACATCTTAATACGTAAAAATTGTAAGTCTGTGGACTTTTAGTTATTTACTTCGTTTTTTTTTACATACATACATACATACTCGTATGCGGCAGAGTCTTAGCTCAATTTATTCTTTCTCCATTTCCAACATGTACACATACAAACATTCAAGTTTCCAGTTTTGGCTTTGGGTTTTTTGTTTGTCTGACGCTGGGTCTGCTCTTCACGGCTCGTCTTCCCCTCTCCCGCTTCGACCATACTCAACTGGGTCAACACGATCGCTCGCTGGGCGTTTTCTGGTGGCCAGCCACACTTATGTCTAAGTCTAACTGTCAGCCTGCCTGCACTCCATGTGTACACATGTACATATGTACGAGTACGTTCTTGTGTGTATGTATGTATATACATAACATACATACTTATGTTAAAGCTAATTGTGTTTATTTTTTTCACATTGGTTTGTTTAGCCGCGTCGGTGCGTTTTATGAGGCTAATTCTTTGAGATTTATACGATCTAACCAGATAACAATATTTTTGTTATTTATCAGGTCAAGAAATGTTACTCTCAATTCTCAAAATGTGATATGGCAACCAAAGTCCCTGATTTCAACATGGAAAGGGCGGAAATAATATCAAAAACAAAATGTTATTAAAAACATGAAATGTTCTAATGAAGTATCTTCATAACTTTATAAGAAATAAAATCTAATATCTCGCTGCTGGGTTACATTAATAATATTACAAACATATTAAGGAATCTATTTTCCTAACTATGTACATATATAGATTAGTTATAGTGCAAAAAAAAAGAGTGATGTAAGCTGTTAGTACTTTTAGATTATCTCTTTTCATGACCAAAACAGCTATTACTTGTACATACAAGTATTTGTAGCTTCCACAGCTCAGCTACTTTTGCAGCCTTATTTTAATAAGAAATAACTCCAGCACATTGCATAGCAGAGAAAAACTTTTACTTTTGGGGGCTTCGAGCTAGCTTGAAGCTCATCGCGGCCGAAGCGTCATAAAAAGAAACTAATTTTACGTGCGCATGTTTAGATTCTTGTGTGTGAACTCTTCTCGGATAAAACATTCTCGCATAATTACTGCACACATACTCCACTACACCACAGACGTACATATGTACATACAAACATGTATGAACATAAAGGCATAAAGGTGTATATAAAGGTGGCACCAGCAATAACCCTATGCAGCCATCCAACAAAGTATCAGTTTGGGAAACAGGTTTCTTACAATTGAATACTCTCAGTTCACAAAGATGAAACATACACATAAGTATGCATATCAGTTTAACAGGAAACCATTTCATTTGCTTGTGTTTTTATATACCTAATTATTTATTTATTTTTATGTTATTTGTTAACTGTACATACATTTATAATATCAAGCACAAAACAAATATATTTTGTAGCTTTGGATTCAAATTAATCAGATTTGATTAATTTTCTAACTTAGTTAGTCCTATTCAAAACTAGACACTATTATATATATTATCAAAGACTTCATTTCAGTTAAATAGTTTAAAATAAAAACCTATTGAAAACTGAGTTCTAAATAAATTCATTTAATATAAAGTTATACACATATATAATGATCGACCGACGATCTTTGGATTTCCATTAATCAATACAATTTATTGCCAACAATATAAAAAAGTTGAATTTAAATAAATTCCTATTACAATAAACTAATTAATTAAAAATTCACAGTGAAATTTTGTAACAGAATATTCTATTTTTAGGAAGTTAATTATATACTTAGTAGTATTCAATCGTATTGTAATAACTAAAATGATTCAGACAGAATTACAGGTTTGAGCGGTAAATATAATTCACTGAGACTTTGCAGGCAAACTAGATTTGCCGCAGAAAGAATCAAAAACGAATTAGTGTTAAGCCCATGCAGGGTATTCTAGATTCGGTGCTACCGTATATCAGATTTTCGGTATTAAATGAACGTGTGCATTACTCTGACTTCAAAATGTTGTGGGCTGATGGTTCTACAGTCGCTACTCCGCCAGCATCGGTTAAAAAATTCAACCAAAGTCGTAGAGGTGTATGGTAATACATACTACATATATGTACATACATATATACAAATGTTTACATAGTGTAACTATAACTATTACCTGATGTTGTTGATTTTATTTGGACGGCTTTCGTTTTTATGGTTGTGGACTTGAAAGAGCTTCACTCTTCCATAAGTTATTCATCCATTATGTTGGCATTTTTAGATATTTGATAAAATTCTTTTAGATAGAAAAATATGCAGGTAAAGTCTGAAAAGATAACAACAAGACAATGCAATCAATAAAGTGGAAAACGGTAAACCGGACCGGCAAATGGTAACAGTAACGAAACAAAGCAACTGTCTCATAAATATTTGGCTATTGGACCATCGGTTTCTTTTGAATTCGTTGTCAAACTGGTTGCGCTTCCGAAAAATAAAAAGTTTCTGTTGTTATGTACATAGTACATACTAAATATGCATATATCATGTAGTCCTCGGACTGTAATAGAGTCCCTGTAATTTTTGAAGTATTGTCTATTGTTGGTATACTTATGTTACGGTCCCTTTGTTTATTTACAGTTTACAAAAATGGATACAGTATATGGCACCAAAAAGTACTTTCAAAGCTTATCTGGAGTCAGTGATATTTATCGCACGCAAACATGTCGAGCTATGGTAAGTGAAGAACTCACTCCAGTATGTAAATAATTAAAATCTAAAATGAATCTGCGCGCACAACGCACCTTGATGTATCTGAGCACACATGCTTGTACAAGTATGTATCTACATATAGTAAGTACATATACATACTAAAGTCTTCTTAGCGATTCTCTGGGGCTAAGCACGACAAATGTGTACATACATACAGACATACATATGTAATTATTAAGTCAAACACCAGCCAGAAGCCAGAAGCCAGAAGGTAGAAGAATAGCTGCGTTAAAGGTGAATGACTTTCTCTTCGAAGAAAGACGGTGTACAACCAGAAGTCAAGAGAATAAAAACGATGGAGTGCAAGAACTAAGAATTTGGCTAACCTTAGGTAGTAGGACGGGGATCGGCAACATGTTGGTGCTCGACTTGTGAGTGTTTGCGTGTGATGGAGCGAGTCGGCGAGCTACTGCATCAAAGAATATGCCAAGCTGTTAATAACTTCCAAGATTCTACACGTGCGTGTGTGTGCGAAATATCAGCTTTAATGCGCATTCGAAGAATGTGTACATACATACATATACTATATAATTGGTATGTTTAAGCACTGGAGCGCTTAATTTTTAATGGCACAACATTTTTTTTTCTTTTGAATTGAGTGGAACCTAATTTTATGACGCTGTCAATAAAGTATTTTGTTGTTAGTTTGTCAAAAAGATCAAACCGAAGCCATTAGCACGCATTTCAAATTCGAGAAAGTCTTCTAGAGGCCATTGGGAAAGTTCACAACTTCATCTTCATCGATTAAAAAGTAGATAGTAAATTCCTGAGGGCTACGCTAAAAGCTGACATGTTTTAGAAACACACATTTACACATACTAAATATAATTACTCGTAAATATAATCAACTTTCGGACCCACAACCTAACCTAATAATAAAATTTTATTGCTATTGCAGGCCACCGATTACACTTACCAAAACACTCTGGGTCGCCGATCTCAGCTAGGCGCCTACTATCATATGAATAAGCAGCCCTCTTACACAAATGACCACAGCATTGCGAGTCAGTATGGCTACAATACGTGGGGAATATGGCGTGATGGCCGAAATATTGCGCCGTCCACTTTCTCCACAAAAACGCACACGCATTATCCAAAGAACCGCTCCTTCTCGATTATCCTAACAACCGCTGCCTTCATCGTGCTTCTCGCTGTCATCTCAATTGCCGGCCTGGCATTTTATTTTAGTTCCATCAAGGCCACATTAGAAGAACGTAAGTGCCTAAGACCTACGAAAATATTCGGTTTTTTGTTTGAACAAACCAATTTTGTGTCATAGCCATACTGGGATTCGAAGGATCGTTTCGCATTGCTAAGGGCGATCTTTACTCAACCGGTCTAAAATACAATCACACCACCACATATAAGCAGAAAATCGAGTTCTACAAGCGTTTCGTGGAGCGTGCATTGGCCGACAATGGACTCCAGGCCTTGCGCACCGATGTCTGGGGCTTTGGCGACGGTCCACTGATCAAAATCTCATTTCGCGTTTTCTTGGACGTGCGCAAACTACCGCAGTAAGAACTAGCCATGATAGAGAGTTTAAAATCGCAATTTATGTTTACTTTTATTCGCAGGAATATTCTAAGTGTGGAGGAGTACATAAAGGAATCATTGTTCCTAGAAACTTCGGGTACAAAATCGCTCTACCGATCATTGCGCTTAGACGCGGAATCTGTTGAGATAAAGCGCATAATGGACGAACAAGTTGTTCGATCAGCGGCAATATTGAAGGAAGCAGTAAGTACTTTTAGTCTTTGTCATGCTCTTTCTAAAATACTTCGAATATATTGTAGCAAACGGTTCCCACTAGTCAAACCCAATTGGAGAAACGGCTTATGAAAAAAGGAGGAGGTGCGCCGCTGCAAACCAAACCAGTAGCAGTGAGTACACCGAAACCGCGCACCACCGCTCGTCCACATTCCACAGATGATGAGCCGGATATAGATGTGGAGAACGCACCTGTCATACAGGGCTCCTTTGAGGGATCATTTGAAATAACTAAGACCGATGCCGACATAGCGCGCAAGAAAACATCACCCACAAGAGCCTATCAGAGCAGTAGCCTACCTCCAAAAGCTGTTACGCCCTATGCACTGCGTGTGAAGCCCAAGAAGCCGAGCTTAGAAAAGCTGACCACAGTCACACCCCAGGGTCAACCGCAACCCCAACCCATCCTCTTGAGCAGCACAACATCAGCACCAACCACAACGAAACCCACTACAACAACTAGACAGACGACAACAACTACAGTGACAACCACCACCACAACAACAACAACATCTAAGCCCACATCACAGAAACCGACATCAGAAGCTAATACTTGGACCAGCTCCACAACGACAACAACCACGGCGCGCCCAGTCATTACAACAAAACTTCCCAATTCATTTACTTTCCCATCACTTTCGCCGCCTACCTCAACTGTCGTAGTGCCGAAGCTAGATGCCAACCTGTTCACCACATTTCCCATTCTGGATACGCAGCCGTGGCGTCCAATACACCGTGAAGTTCCAGAACTTTTACCAGGGCCTCCACCGGCATATCCGACGAAAACGTTGCCAGTTGCCGGAAAAGGGCAGCACCCTGCTTCCGCATCGACACCGGCCACTCTTAACCATATACCACAACGTCGCATAGATGAGTTTGAACTACCCTTTATAGCTGAAAATCCTACACCCCCATCGGCCGCAATGTTGCCATCGGCCCATGATCCGTACATGCAAATGCCAAGTTTCCACGGACCCGCTATGGCTAAGCCCGACTTCAGTAATGATAACGAAAACGAGCCAAATCAGCAAGATATGCTTTTTTATCATAATTTCGGCAGTCCAATACTTTTGCCAGGCACCGAAAATATTGAACGTTTAGGCGGCGCATTTGTGGAGCCCCATCCACTACCAGTACCGCTTATAGATGATGTTCTTATACCGCCATTTAAGCCAATTAATCCAACTTTAGGCACCATGGATAAAATACCATTCAACATTGATGCTGGCAGTGAAAAATTTGAGCATTTAGGTGGCGGTGTAATAGCTAAAAAGCAGGAAAATGGTACTAAGTCAGAAACAAAATCGGACACGGTTTTACTGCAATCTACTACGCCTAAAATAATATCCACTACCGTGACTGGCTCCACGACTCCGCTTCAGGTTCAAGTAATGGCAGAGCAAACAAGTTCTGTGCCATTGCCAGATTCTAAGCCAACTGGCAATTCAGTGCTGGCCGATACCATCGGAGAATTCTTCATGGAGTTGCTGAACCTGCCGAAAGAGGAAAATTTAACAACAACGACTACGACCACTCAAGAGCCTTTAGAGTCGCGTATAGAGCCAGAGGAATCTGAAAGCGTAGAATCTCTAAATATAACAGAGAAAGTCACAACCATTAAACCAACATTCTTGAATCTGAAGGAGCTGATACTGCAACGTAACCAGCCCAATACTAACATTCAGTCGAACGCTACCTTGACTTCACAGACAACGACAAAAACTACAACAATGGCAACAACTAGAAGCACTACCTCCACCACAACCACTGCGAAGCCCACAATCATTACCACCACAAAAAGAAATCGCATACGGCCGAGCAGTGATCGACCGCCCACAATGCTAGACGATTCTAACCTCTTTCCATCACACTCGAAGTGGGAATTTGTGAATAGTTCGTCGACTCAAAACTTTGGCCACAATGGCAATATGAGAAAAGTTTTTAACCAAACTCTGCAGGCGTGGGTGTCCGAGGACATTGACAAGTCCGAGAACTTTACGCTCGATGATATTAAGACACGCATCAACAATGCAACCAATATTCAAGACATATCTCTGATCTTTGACACACTAGCCTCGAAACTAGGCATTACACCAAGTTTGCCCACAAAGTTTCCCCCATTTTCGCAAAATAAGCTTAAGCACTCCCAGAAGAATGATACTAAAATGAGACCATTTATCACAACTACGGAGCTGCCCATCGAGAAAACTAGCGTTAGAAACTTTATAGAACTTCCTTTGCAACAAAGAGAGCCTTTCATAAAACCTATGTCCAGTTTTATGGAGGACAATTCGCCTGAAGTCCTTGGAGCTGCTATTCCTGTTGTCGGTGAAGCGGAAGTTGAAGTCGTGGACCCTCTTAATTACGAAGAAATGCTTAAAATCTCACAATTTGCCGAATCTACATCAACAGAACCTACTTTGCAACATCTAGTTACACTACTGCCCGTCCGTTCCAACTCGGGGATTCGCACGTACAAGCCTCCCGTTGAAGAAATTGAGTCCCAACGGAGTCAATCTGGGTCTGCACCTTCTCTAGTTAAAGCTAACACCACTATCCGGAGAAAAATTAATGTAAACCATAGTCGAAAATTTGGTCCTCCGCCAGAAGCGGTTGTAAAGGGGGGCCTTAAGGTAACGGTCAACTAAAATGAATAAGTCCTCTAGCAGCTACAAAAATTGATGAGATTAAAGCATACATTTACTCTCCTTAGAATTAGATAGGATCGAGAGGTTATTTAAATTTGGTTTGGCGACATTCTATGCACTCCAGCAATGATAGCAGCCTAATAGTTGAAGATTGTTACGTCAACCTCTTAACGAGAATATTAAAATTACATGACTAGAAATACTTTTATTTAAAATGTGTAAGTATTTCGTAAGTAGGTAATTTAAATGATATTTTGGAGAACCAATTCATTTTTAGTATAAGCGCTACGGACAAAGTTTGTTCAAAAATTGTTCATTATTTATTGCCTAGTTATCTAGTAACAGAACAATTTTGGAATGACAATAACTGTTATAATTTTGCGGCACAAATAGTTGCCAAGTTTCAATAAGTTTGTATTTAAAAGCATACATTTTAGTTTTATTGTATACGAAAACGAATTTTAGAGTTGTATTTGTATAGTTGTAAAGGAACTGAATATTCCGTCTTGTACCACAGCAATAAGTATTTTGTTCCCCCATAAATTTCAGTTACAATAAATTCTTGATAAAACTTGTCATTTTTAATTTGTATACCTTTTTAGAGTAGCTCGTGTGTTTGCTATGGCTTGTTTGATGATGGGTCAGAGAATTTTAAACTTATGTATTCGCGCAAGACTTTGGCGCCATCTTTATAAAAACCAATTAAACACAGCTCAATTTTATCGATTTCATTAGCTATCGACATACCGTTGCTACGCAACACTAACAGCTTTTGGCACGTTGTCCAACATAGACTTTGGACGCTGCTGGTTTTGCATTGTTTGTGTTTAGTCTAAACAACTTAGTTGGTGTCTCTTTTGTGGGCCGGTAAAGAAATATAATATATGGGTTGTGCGGAAAGCAAGGACGGCGATCGAAATGCCGGCCGACCAAAATACCGGTCGTGTACTGATACTTTTTGGCTTGCAATATATGTTTTGTTTTGGCTATTTTTGGTAAGCCACTTGTAGATTTATACTTGTTATACTATTACTTTTGTATATGTATGTATGTTTATAAAAAAAGTGAAAGTTTCCTATACTATGCTTAAATGTGTTGGTGTAAATGAGCTTGTATTCGCATTCGTAAAATGAACTATCACAATATAAAGATGTTAATTACGAACTGGTGACCAGACATTGCGGTCGATGTCGTCATCACTATTGTGTGTACGCAGCAGCGGGAAATGATATATCGCTGAATTCATATAAGAAATAATCATTTGTAACCCCAACCCTCAAACCTCCCCTTAGTGTCCTTTCGGACATATAATACCACTCCTCTAATATAGGCATTTGCATGCGATTGTCATGTTTTTCTATGCATATTAATTTAGAATGGCTTGAGTCATGCAATAATGTTTAATGTTGCCCCTTGTGGGCGTTGGCGGAATTCGGCGGCAGCTTTAAATTGCTCGCGCACACTATTCTTTGAAATGTTCAAATTACAAATGCTTATTTGTACATACATTTATGTTTTTACTTTTGTCATTTTTTTAAATTATGATATGGGCTGGCGAAAACCTTTAACTGAACCGTCCAATTATCCGTCGACCTTACCAACTAGGTCTATGTGTGACTGCTAACGGCGATCTAACCTAACCCATTGTGATAATGATTGACAAATTAATTGACTTATGCAAGATAGTATTGTTTAACTTAGAAAACTAATTAAATGCTTCAGATAATGCTAAACTTTGTGATAATTGAATTTTAGATTGTGATTGCAATCTTTGCTTTTGTTTATGGAAACCCCTTGCGAATTATAAATGGCTATGATACATTTGGTAATACCTGCGGTGTTAAACAAAATGAACGAATCTTCAATTCCCCACTCTCTGGCTTGGACACTCATGATAAACCAGATGTTTTTTACTTCGATGTCAAGGAGCTGAAAAAGTCATTGAAAATATGCGTTAAACAGTGTCCTACAAAGACGCTGACGCAGCGTAACGAGCTTGTCCAGTATTATCGGGATACAGGCACCCAATTATGTAGATATGATTTTGACATGACTCAGATAACGAGTGCTGCACTGGCAAATGACAACTCGTTTTTCAATTACCTCGGACCATGTCCCAGTTTTCCTGTGCAAGAAAGGTGAGTGTAGTCATTAAATTATTTGAGAGCCTAGACTCATTAATTCATTTAAATATAATGCTTTCAGCTCTCCTGTCTTGCATCGTTGCGTTCCAAAGGGTAAAAGTGCGCAAGTGAAGGATATGTACGATATGCTCAACTCATGGGATGTAGCTCAGCAGTTCTTGGGTGATATTTACACCACTTGGCATATTATTGCGGCAATCTGCGGTATATCTTTACTAATCTCTATCGCACTGGTCACTTTGATGCATTGGCTATCCCGCATCGTGTCTTGGCTTATTTGTGTGCTGGTCATCGTGGCCAGCATTGGACTTACGGGTACACTTTGGTATGCTTATTACAGCATTCGCCACAATGGCGCAAGCACGCAGTATACCCAATTAGAAGAGTTTATACGCAATGAACAGGCCGTCTTTACTCTAGCTATATTAGCCACAATAACAATGGTAAGAGATTTTCTTTTAAATATCAAGAAATTATTTTTTATTCCTATTATTAAGCAGGCTTGATATCTTAGCAAATCATAATTTCAATTAATAAGCGTAAAAATCGATTACTGTTTCCAGATTATCCTTTTGATCATCATTTATTACCTGAAAAACAAACTATCTGGACTGTCTGCGCTATTTGAAGAGGCTGGCGAGTGCATGATGAGTCTGCCTGGTCTATTAATAGCTCCCATCCTGGCATTCATTGTTTTGGCTGCATTCTTGGCCTTTTGGGTGGTTGTAGTTATTTGCCTAGCTACTGCGACCACGCCAGACCAGAGTCCATTTGCGCCATTTGACAATTCAGGGAACCACCAATTGACCAATGCAGTCAATAATAATAACACACAAAATGATTTCAAAAGTAAGTGAAAACCTTTCGTTATATTTTACTTTAAAAATATATCAACAACCTAAGTGCAAGTTTTTAAAATGGAATATAAATTAATCGAATCTAAACAAACAAAACAAAAAACACAATATGGCGACAATTTCAAATTGGTTTTCTTGTGTTCTTACATTGTATTTTGTCGAAAAATGCTGTGCTCGTTGCAATAAGTAAGTTATGCGTTCTTTTTGATACAAATGCTTAAATAATTTCGCACAACACAATTTTATATAATTCCTATTCTAATGAACAATTTCTTATTTTCTTTATCCAACTATGTATATATATATTGTAAATACATATGTATGTTTGTGCTCGAAGTCCATTATTATGCTGGTTCTTTAAATGTACATACTGTAAATTTATGTTTCAGCGATATTAAATATAGAATTTACAAAGGCGCAACCATTGCGCAGCATGTTCTGGATTTATGTCGTTGGTCTCATATGGACTGTGGAATTTATTTTTGCATGCCAGCAATTTGCACTGGCCGCAGCTGTCGCGTTCTGGTACTTCTCAAAGCCAACCACTACTCCCACAATTTATGCAATTGGCAAGCTTATTAAATATCATTTGGGAACTGTCGCGAAGGGGTCATTTGTAATCACAATATTTAAAATACCTCGCCTAATACTGACCTATTTATATGCCAAGTAAGTTGCCACCGGCCTAATATTTTGTTTGGACAATTCGTAACTCCACGATTATTTTCAGATTGAAGAAAGGCGAAGACAAGGGTTCCGAATGCGCTGCCTGCTGTTTAAAGTGCTGTATTTGCGGTTTTTGGTTGCTGGAGAAGTTTATACGATTCCTTAATCACAATGCGTATACTGTGGTTGCCATTGAGTCCATAAACTTCTGTCCAGCCGCAGGAATTGTAAGAAAACATCTATTTAGTTTTGGCTATTAAATTCTAATTCATATGGATTTCTTCTCTTTAGGCCTGGAATGCATTGGCCACTAACGCACTACAAGTGGCAACAATCAATAGTGTTGGTGACTTTATCCTGTTCCTTGGTAAAATTGTAGTGGCCGCACTGTCCGGTTTAATTGGAGTTTTCATACTGAAGGACCGGCCGGGACTAAATTTCTACATAGCGCCTGTAATAATGATTATAATATTTTCATTCTTCATTGCTCACATCGTGCTTTCACTTTTTGAGGTGAGTTAATCCTTGGAATTTGCATTTTAACGACACTTCATGAGTTTTTTTTTTAGATGGTTGTGGATACTTTGTTTTTGTGTGTATGTGAAGATAAAACTATCAATGGACGTGCTGGCCGCTGGGCCCAAAGTAATTTGGCAAGGCTTGTGGGCGAAGAGCCGTTGCAGCCCGGCGAAGAACCCCCGATTCAGGTGGTCGAAATGATGCCTATCAATAAGCAACCATTCTGTATAACACGACTTCCCCCTCCCGAGTCCGAGGTTTCTCCGATGGCAGAGTAACAATAGACGTTGGGAATATTTAATCATACGCACATTTGATGAAGTGTCCAGCCCTCCGTGTGAACAAACTTGACGTACAAAACTCAGTGAAAAACACACTCAACATTCGCTATTAATATTCAAAAAGCGCACAATGTTTATTATTTATAACTTTATAATATATATATTTATTCATAAATGAAACTCGAAATAAACTATTTATCTTTTTTCACACGCTTCGCCTTGGCTTTCTTCTGCTCAATTACATTTTGTACGGCCTTCATTTGTTTATCCTTGATTTTCTTGGTTAGTGCCGCTTTAGAAGATTTTTTAGGTTCGGAGGCATTTTTCTTTTTAGCTTGTGCTATTAAAGATTAAAATAATAACTAATATATGAGGGATTGATAAAAAAAAAGTATTCTTACCTGCTATGAGTTTGGCCGTTTCTAGGGGTTCTTGATTTTCAAACAGCTCATCGTTTTCAATGCCCTCGTAAGGCTTTACCGGCCGCGTAGCCTCTTGGCGCACCTTTTGTTCAATGCGGCTTACATATTTGTCGTTGCCTGCCTTCTTCAGCATCTGACGCTGCTTCGACGGGCTAACATAGTCAGGGTTTTCCCAGATTGTGGTGCCAGTGAAAGAGCCATCGAATATCTTCACAGGATTCATTACGAAACGAGGACCAACTTCCGAGAGACCACCGTCTTCTGATAAAATTTGGAAGTTTCTGAACCATATGCGATTATCCAAGTAGGTAAAAGTGTACACATGATCAATAAAGGGCTGACTCTTGGGATGGTGGTTTGGCACAGCAAATGTCTGCACAAACAGTTCCTTGAGCAGTTTCAGGTGTGGGACCTCATCAAATTTGGAATCGAAAGAAAGCAGCGGGCGCGAACCTCTCAAACAGTTGCCGGTTAATTTAAGTTCTGCCATTGTGTGAATATTCTCAACCAAAAACTTTACGGATGGACCAGTAGAACCTACTGTATTAGATATCCACATGTACAAATCGCGTTTGCGGCGACCCTCGAAAAGCAGGGCCTTGTTGCAGTGCTTCATTTCACACATTTCGTTCACCACTGCTAGGGTCTTCGACCGCTCCATTTTCGCTTCGGATCGGTGGTGAGGCATTAAGGTCTTAATGTCGCGCATGAGATGCCTGTCCCTGTGGCTGATTCCACGCGCTGAAAACACCAAAACCCTTTGTTTGTTTACCCATTTTCCCTGCAACAATAAACACTCTTAATTTTGGTAAATCCTAACTTTGCTTGCTGCTTTCCTTACCTTCCTCGGAATAGTTTCATCAGACAATCTCTGTGGGGGTAGCGGAGGATTTTCGTCTTTTGGTACAATCTCCAGCTGCTCAACTTTCTTTTTCTTTTGGAATTTACGGCCCATATCTTTTCTTCTAGGGTTTATTTATTGTAAACTATTAACCGAACTGAAACAACGTGGACCTGAAATAAACAATTTCCAGAGTTGAAAAACACTGAAAGAAGAACGGTGCGTGCACGTGCTACTCCAATACTAGTTCCAATCAATTGATGTTCCAGCGCTATAAATGCAAATGTGATCGTACCCATTCACATTCAAAATATATGTATGCACGTACATATCGTACGCGGTTGATTTTATTAAATTAAGGGATTTCAGTTTAAGGTATGTATGCATAATTAACTTAACATGTTAAACTAAATATTAAGTATGTTCACATGATTATCGCTGTGATCATCGTCGTTCTCTAATTTCGGGCAATTTTTACATCCGCTACGGTTAATACCATATTTAACGCAGTGAGATCCAACACATTCGCAACATCCATCATGAAACCATCTATAACTGCTAGCTCCAGTTTTTTGGCAAGTTTGTCGGCACTTATTCCATGAAATGCACTGATCTAGATAGATAACTGTGCACTTATCAATTATATCGATATCCTCTTGAAATGACACAATATTCCAACTCTGCTCGTTTTTCTCTAGTTCTGAAGTTACAGCAGCAAATAATACTGGAACTCCATCAAAATCCTCTACATGCGATTTTTTAGACATGTCCGCCAAATTGCAATAAATAAAACGTTTATGCGATAGAAACAATATCAGAAGTAAAATATATTGCAGTAGGCTCATACTGAACAATGTTTTTTTTTAAACTAAACTCAATTTCAACGGTTACAGTTTCTTATATGGGTATGATTCTCATCAGGTAGGAAAACAGCATTCAATTTATATTTCAATAGGATAAAGAAACATCTGTTCCTTGCCTGCGAGCAGGTATAATGTTGAATAATTTGATTTATTTATTGCTTTGTGCACACCTGGTTTTAAGAGAATTTGTCAAGTAAAAGTCGTGATTGCTATTCACGCGAATTGCCACAGCAACAAGCGATTGACTTTCGCGTGACCGGATATTTTTTCTTGTCCCATCTCTATCAGATACACAATTCTGTAGCCATTTTATTGACAGCCGCGTTGTGAGAAAATTTTAGTAATTTTTTCGGAAGCTGTATTTATACCTACAACAATGTCCGATTATCGCTCTCAGTCAAGAGGTGGCGGCCGTGGCCAAGAATACTCCAATGATGATGATCCGCCGATGTCCCGTTTGTTTATTATATGCAATAAGGCCCATACCGAGGAAGACTTCCGTGAGGTATTTACATACATACATACATACAAATATTTTGTTTCCTTAAATGTTTTAAAAACTAAAATTAAATTTCCGTAGGCGTTCTCTCCATTTGGTGAAATTGAAGATATTTGGGTAGTCAAGGACAAACACACACAAGAAAACAAGGGAATTGCATATGTAAAGTTTTCGCGCACATCTGACGCCGCAAAGGCTCAGGAAATGATGAATGGCAAAACAATCGGCAAGACCGACAGAACACTAAAAGTGCTGGTTGCTGCAAAGTACATATATGATTTTAGTTTGCCTCCAAATGCCTATTTTTTAAACGATTGTCGTCTCCCTTTGTATTTTAATTACAGCCGCAACCAAGGTTCAAACAAGTCAGAAAATGAACAGGAAAAATACTTGCGTCTTTTTATTGTTATACCGAAGACCGCAACTGAGGAGGACATACGTGACGAATTCGCTCAATGGGGTGAGGTGGAGAGCGTGACCATAGTCAAGGAGAAGAACAATGGCAACCCCAAAGGCTTTGGCTATGTACGATTTACAAAGTAAGTGTTATGCACCAAAAACGTCTTACAAATCTGGTAATCGAAACTGTATATTAATTTAAATATTTAAGGTTCTACTACGCAGCAATCGCGTTTGAAAATTGCTCGGCCAAATACAAGGCAGTTTTTGCGGAGCCAAAAGGTTCCACTCGCACTCAACGAGATCAATATGGTCGGACTGCTGACGATAATGCGATGTTTGGTCCCGGGCGTGGTGGAAACTATAATGGCAGTGGAAGTTCTGCCGGTGGTTTTAACAACGATTGGAACACTTCTGTAAACAACGATATGTCTGCCTTTCTCCGAATGCAAAATGTGCCGGTCCCACAGCCAACTTGTCTGGAGGTGACTGCCAGCAACTGTGTGAATCAGGATCAGCTCTGGAGGTTGTTCGATATAATTCCAGGCCTTGATTATTGTCAAATAATGAGAGAACGTAAGTGCGAGAGCAATTTTTATTGGATAGGTCTAAATGTTGTTACATATTCCAAGATGGTCCTCGCACAAACGAAGCCGTGGTTGTATATGACAATCCCGAAGCTGCTATTTATGCCAAGTGAGTTAGTTAAACTGCCATACAAATTAGCTGTTATTTATTCGAATATTCATTTTAATTTTAGGGATAAGCTTCATGGCCTAGAATATCCCATGGGTGAACGAATTATTGTGAAAGTTTCTGGCATGAGCTCCTCTCGTATGGATACTTCGTTTATCGACAGTAAGTAAACCATACACATATTCAAAATGAGCCTACAGCATACTCCCATTTTAGAGCGTACAAAGAAAGATTCCATCTGTAACGTCCCCTTACCACCAGCACAGCCTCTGGCATCCCCGGATGCACCAGTCGCTCAAAGACTCTTTATTGTGCTCACAGCAGTAGGTTAAACAATTATTTTATAGCAGAAAACAGGAATTTTTTATTTTCAATTTTCTAGAATTTGCCACATTCCATTCTGAAGAATATTTTCTCCTGCTGGAAAGGACTTATCGATGTATATCTGCTTCCCAACAAGAACTGTGGCTACGTAAAGTACTCCGAGTCAGATAGTGCACAGAAGGCCATCCACGTTTTAAACGGTGCAGAGATCTGTGGGACTAAAATAAAGGTAAGTGCAATTACTTTCTACCAATAGCAAGCAAAGTTTATTTTATTTGAGGAATCTTAAAGGTTATGGAAGCTGAGGAGCGTAGCGGATCAGACGGCGATGACGGTGGCAGAAAGCGGTTGCGTCGCAACTAAGTGTAAGTACCCAAATAACAAACATTTAATGCAATTGTTTAATATAGCCTTAGTTGGAATGAGTGAGCCCAGGTCCTAGGTAAGTGGTTATGAATTGACTAAAAACAACAAAATGAACAGGCAACATCTACTCCGTTCGTTAACCAGCAGAAACCACAGATTTGTACAACACCTACATGCATATGTATATTACATTCCAAAATACATATGTATGTATATGCATGGAAGAGATGACGATGCTGCCGCTAAGTCAAACCATTTTTATCTTTCTATTTTCACAGACACTGACAACATTGTACTTAACAGAGAACGTACTGTACATGTACGAGTAGTTTACAAAACTAACTTCAGAAACAGTTCAAATATAAACCAACTGACCAACCGCCCAAACACTACGGAATCAACCAGAACCTGAACACCACATTGAGTGAAACGGACACGGGAACGGAAACAATGATTAACAGCAACAGTACAATTGACTTGTCCAAGAGTATTCTATTGTCATAGCACATAGAAATAGACCAGACCTAACCTAAACGGATCCAACAAAACCGGAATGCTTGAAAACCACTAACAGGACAATGCGGACACACAATACAAAAATCGTGTTTACCAATAACAAAGAAACATACGAACTCTTGTGTACTATTTACTAACGTATTACGACAAAGATAATTACATACATATTTAACAAAGATGATTGTAGTATACATACATACATTTGTCTATATTATAAATGTGTCTTCAGATTTGAAAACATAAATTTATTCCATAGACTTCAATATTATATATACATATATAAAGTAACTTTGCCTAATACCATTATTATACATATGTAAATCTATTAAGGCGATTTCAATAAACGGTAATGAACAACCACTTTATATGAATTGTCTAAGACATTTATTGCAGCGTTTTACTTATAATGCATTAAAGTAGTGGATTTTCGCACTAAATACACGATATAGCCCACCAATCCAGAATTTGATGATATACCAATTTTTTGAGTCCTTTAGAAACAACTAACGCGACAATCTACTCAACATCTGTGGGTCGCTTGGACGAACAGCTGTTTCTAGCACTATTTAAGGGCTGCACAGCAACTCGAAATTTCTGTAGCACCTTTCTAACACTGGGCCAATATAAATAAAGCAGGAAAGAAGAAGATATCCGCATTTGTTTATAGCTGAAAGAAGTAAATCCCTTTACTGTTTGCCAGAAAAAATATAGTTAAAATATAAAATGGATCCAGCCTTGTTGCGGGAACGCGAAGCGTTCAAAAAACGGGCCATGGCAACGCCAACGTGAGTCTACCCAGTGTCTCTTTTAAAGTTTCCGATCTTAAATATTTGTTGTTCTATAGCGTTGAAAAAAAAAACAGGCCTGAGCCTGCACCCCTCCCAGCGCTTCGTGATGACTCCAAGAAGAAAATGCGGCCACCCACTGTTCCAAAGATGGATGCGTCCACGTATGTTTTGAGCTTCTTACTTTCCCAATCACAGCAACATTTTCTTAACCTTACCCCATTTGTAGGTATAAGACAATGTCTGGTAGCTCCCAGTATCGATTTGGAGTGCTAGCCAAGATAGTCAAATTCATGCGCACCCGCCATCAGGATGGGGATGACCACCCACTTACTATAGATGAAATATTAGACGAAACGAATCAACTTGATATTGGTCAATCAGTGAAAAATGTAAATTTGTATTTATTTTCATATACAATTACCAAAACTATGAATTCTCCACATCCACAGTGGCTAGCGGGCGAAGCCCTAAGTAACAATCCTAAAATAGATGTTACCCCGGATGGTCAAAAATTCAGCTTTAAGCCAGTCTATAAGATAAAGGATGGCAAAAGTCTTATGCGCCTATTAAAACAGCACGACTTAAAGGGGCTAGGGGGTATTCTGCTAGAGGATGTTCAGGAGTCTTTACCGCACTGTGAGAAGGTTTTGAAAAATAGAGCGGCTGAAATTCTATTTATTATACGGCCAATTGACAAAAAGAAGATATTGTTCTACAACGACAGAGCTGCGAATTTTTCAGTAAGCACGTTTCTACTAAAAGAAACATTTTTATAGCTTTTGATTGCAGGTAGATGAAGAATTTCAAAAGTTATGGCGTTCAGCAACTGTCGACGCTATGGATGATGCTAAAATTGATGAATACCTCGAAAAACAAGGTGCGTTGCTGCATAACAATGTCTTGCTTGCATGGATTTTTAATTTCCTAAATATGTATGTAGGTATTCGTTCGATGCAAGATCATGGTCTGAAGAAACCGATTCCAAAACGCAAAAAAGTTTCAAATAAAAAACGACAGTTCAAAAAACCTCGAGACAACGAGCATTTGGCCGATGTTTTGGAAACATACGAGGATAACACTTTAACACAAAAGGGCGTAAACCCAACTTAGATAGTAAGCTCTCATGTGCAGTCAATAAATAAATTTAGACAAACTTGTTGGTGCTTGATTTGACTGAAAAGATTTAGACATTTGGAGTTTTTTTTTTTTTTTCAATGAACCACATGTTTTTTACCTGCTTAAAGTTGTTTTAAAATAAGAAGCTAAGAACTCATTAGCGTCAACAAAAATTTAGACATCAGGTGCTGGTATCAGGTATGGCAACAATATTCTCATTATCCAATTTCATTCCCCTATCTTTATAATCCCAAAAGTTAAGTAATTTCTATGACAGCTCATTAGATCTGCAACCGAATATTCAGCAATTACACTTTCCAATGAAGGATATATAAATACTAATGTGACTACATACAACATACTGGTTGGGCTAGAAACAATTTGCTGTTTGTTGATATTGACCCTTTCTTAAATAACAGCAATGTTTTATTGCCTCGGCTTATATTTCAAAAGGCTGAGATCCTAATAATAAAGTTTTGTTATGTATTGTCGCGATCAACTACCTGATACATCCCATGCATACATACATATGTACATATATATTATACGGAATTCCTATATAGGAGCTTTCTCTTTTCCAGTATGTGTTATATAGAAATGTTCAAATGTGCAACCTAATGAGCTTCAAAAAAGATCTAGTTCAAGTGGGTAACAGAATCTTTGTACTGTAGGAAACCGACACAGCTCTAAAAGTTAGCGTGTCTTGCCTATCTTTCAAATGACAGGGTGCATACATACATCCTCCAAAATTTACGAACAGTTCGATAAGTATCTTCTGGCGAAAAACACAAAAGAAATCATTCAAGGAGAATGTATGTGAATACATATACATGTAATCTTATCATGTCATAATCTTTACCGCTCACCCACCTCCTTAGGTAAGTCACACATATGTATGTATGTATGTATATAATAGTACATACAAATGTATGGCCCAAAGAATCTATAAATTGGCGCAAACAAAACAAAAAAGCGTCAGTTGCTGAAGAGCCCTCGACTTGAGTATCGGTTGTGCTTCACAGCAGTGTGGAGGAGGGAAACATTAAGCAAGGGGCTGCAGGTAAAGAAACTTGTTTTCCAATTGCTTTTTCGTGTTTGATTATTCAATGTATGTTCTCGGGCTGACTTTGAAATTTTGATTTGTGCACGTCGACAGGCCTTTAAAAGCAAAAACGTAAAATGAATTCCCGTATATTGGCGGTCGCTGCATTGGCGGCTCTTCTGACATTTGGTACAACACCTTCAGAGGCGTTGAATAACGAGTAAGTAGCAAACATGATTCTCAAACTTATCAAATTTGTTACAAATTATGCGGTTTTAGTCATCTGGTTTACGGCTACGAGTGCCAAAAAGGAGTTTGCAAGAAGGTGGAACTTAGCGAAGAGAACTTCTCGAAAGCCATCAGCTTGCCAGTATGTAGATTGTTTTGTGGTGAAGACATAGGCACGTTGTGGCCCAAACCGACGGGAGCTGTTGAGCTGGAGCGTCTTATGAAACAAGTGGATGTATCCAACATAGAGATTAAGTTGCTGGCAAGCAGAAAAAAGGATAACCTATGGAATAACGTCGAAAACAGATGGATGGACCTCATACATGCCAAAATTCCAAGCCGAAAGAGTTTGAATAACGGCGGTTATGAGTTAAACATAGGTGTTACACTTAAAGAGCAACACGATGGACTACCTAGACTTACTCTGGTTACAGATGAGAGCTATAATCTGAGCATAGATTCGGCTGCCGATGGCCAAGTGTCGGTGAACATAACTGCAGAAAATTTCTTTGGAGCTCGTCATGGGCTCGAAACTCTTGCCCAACTTATTGTCTACGACGATATTCGTCGCGAAGTACAAATTGTGACAAAGGCTTCTATTTATGATGCTCCAGTATATAAGTGGCGTGGCCTTTTACTCGATACCGCCCGTAACTTTTTCCCTGTGAAGTCCATAAAGCGCACTTTAGGTACGATTCATGACTTCTTTCCGAAACTTTTGTACACGAATCTGTTCATTATTATATACCTACTTAGATGGAATGGCTATGGTCAAACTAAACACGTTTCATTGGCACATCACTGACTCGCACAGTTTTCCGTTCGAGGTCCCGAAGCAGGCGGAACTCTATAAGTTGGGCGCCTATTCACCACGCAAAGTGTATAGTCAAGAGGATGTTGCCGACGTCGTGGAATACGGACGAGTCAGAGGTATACGTGTAATGCCAGAATTCGATGCGCCGGCTCATGTGGGTATGTTAGATACTTTATTTCTACGGGATCCAGATTTCTTTACCCCGTCCTGATCTTACTATTAGGCGAAGGCTGGCAGCACAAAAATATGACGGCATGTTTTAACGCCCAACCGTGGAAAAATTTCTGTGTGGAGCCTCCCTGTGGACAATTGGATCCTACAGTGGAGGGTCTATATAATGTGTTAGAGGACATTTACAGCGACATGTTTAAGCTGTTCAATCCCGATGTTTTTCACATGGGCGGAGATGAAGTATCTGTAAACTGCTGGAATAGCAGCCAAAGCATCCGCAGTTGGATGAATGCTCAAGGTTGGGGTCTTGAAGAATCAGATTTTATGCAGTTGTGGGGTCACTTTCAAGAAAAAGCGCTTGAACGAGTAGACCGCGTTGCAAATGGCACACGCACTCCAATAACACTGTGGACGAGTAGACTAACTGAAGCGCCTTTTATCGACGATTTCCTCGACAAGGATAGGTACATAATCCAGATCTGGACAACTGGTGAAGATCCAAAGGCATGTACATTTTAAAAAATTGGTTTTCAAGTTATGACTAAAAGAAACCTTTCTAGGTGAAGGAAATATTAAAGCGCGGGTATCGCATAATAGTTTCAAACTACGATGCCCTTTACTTTGACTGTGGTGGTGCAGGCTGGGTAACCAACGGCAATAACTGGTGTTCCCCATACATCGGCTGGCAGAAGGTGTACGACAACAGTTTGGCCAAGATTGCCGGTGATTACGAGCATCATGTGCTTGGTAGTGAAGCTGCTATATGGTCCGAGCAGATTGATGAATTCACACTGGACAATCGTTTTTGGCCTCGTGCCAGTGCATTGGCAGGTTTGTAACAAACATATCACCCTTATAACATAACTTCAAAACTATAATTTTGAATAATATACCTCTTTGCAGAGAGACTGTGGACAAATCCTGCCACAAATTGGCGCCAGGCTGAAGCACGCATTCTGATGCATCGTGAGCGATTGGTGGAAAACGGTATTGGTGCAGAGAGTCTGCAGCCTGAATGGTGTTTGCAGAATGAAGACGAGTGTCCTATTGACGCGTATGATGCACAAAATTAAACCTGATTGTACTTGTGTAATACGGTCAATTCTTATAGATTTTATTATAGTTTGCACTTACGTGGATTTTCGTATACTTACATAAAAATACTCTTTGTTGCCGTATTACTCAGTGCGTGGAATAAAATTAAGCCAACAACTTAACGAATTTTTACGCAAATGATTTGTTTATTTGTGAGAATGAGATTATATCGTATTAAAACACATGTGGCGGTGGGAGTAACCTCCACATTCGTAGTCATCGTGGTTTATGAATATATGTGGGCTAAATGTATTTTTTTATCGGTTAGAAATGGGCATTAGTGCCTATTTGCCTCTTATTCGTTCCAATCTTCCTCGTTGCGCCCAAACTTGTATACAAGACTTCCGAAAAGTATGAAAACATTCTGCAGTAGTAAGGCCACTCCCTTACTACTATCTTTTTTTTCTGCATAAAAAAATGGGTTAATTTTATGTAATTTTGTGTAAGATAGAAAAACCTACCGTTATTTATAAAATTGTCAATCATCACCCAAATAGCGGCAATTATGGACGCAAAACCAATGACGAATCCGACAAGGAGCCAAATTTTAGCTAACCTCGCGCGTTCCGAAGTATTATCTTCTGAAATCTAAGATCATAAAATAAATAAGAAACTTTCAGCCGGCGACGTAGACCTTTCATGTTTACACCTCTTGCTTTAAAAATGTTGGTAACTTTTTTACCTTTGCAGGTAATCAGTTGCAGAACACTTTTATTATTATTTATTTAGTTCACAGTGAGTCATCTGTGATTCCTTTCCCCCCAATTTGTATATATGTATATTATATATGTTGTTTAGATCGGGCTGTGATACTTACATGGGAATTTTTAACAGTGTTTACCATAAACAAGCTAAGAGTGCCAAATATTCCTATGAATACATGACCAGTTGTTATTTGGCGTCCACTTTCGCCAGACATGGCATCAATTAGAATCCACCATCCTGTGAAAAACTGAAAGAGGCAAATTAAAATAATCATTCAGTCGAACTTCTCGGTCAGCACAAAGGCGTCAATTGCCGAACTGTTTGCCCTTACAAGAAGACCTGCTACAAGCGACGAATTTTTATTCCTCGACGTCTCCGATGTGAACCATTCCTTGACATTATCTTGAAGCGCCATTGTGTGTTAAATACTAATGCTAACTTATTTTGTTTCTATTTTGCTATGATAACAATGGCAATGACTGATTCTTTCAATCGAGTATTTTCATGCAAATTGTTTTATGATAGAGATGGTCGATACTTCGATTTTGGACTCACAACGAATGGTAGTAGAGGTGTTACTGCAATTGATTTCTATTAATCTATTAGAAATCTAAATAATTGGACAAATTAAATTAAATTCATAAAAAACTCGCTAAAAGTAAAAAATACATTAGAGAAGATCGACCTTCCTTATAATGCTAATTTGCACCCTTAGGATAATTTGGTTTATTGTTATTAAAGAATTTTTATGAATCAGTACAGTGCATACATTTTTAATGTACCTAATAATTACTCCTGTGACATCTAAATATTTCAGCTTCTCTGAAATAGCTTGGGTGATTGAGTTAGAATCTAAATTATAGTCGGAAAACATTTAGGCGGAGCAGTATTTTTGAAATATCGTCACAGGGTTGCAGGTATTTTAGTATATTCAGATCCAGTTATTGCGACACCCTGGCTCTATCTGCTGCACAATATTATTGTTTCTTTGCAACACGTGCACACGAAATTGAATACTTCGAGAATGAAGGGAGATCTTGACGAAGCTTCTGGCTCGGAGAGCGAGAATCAAGAAACGGATGAGGTTTCCTCTGGTGGGGAGAACGACAGTAAGGAAGAGTTCGATTTGGCTGCTAGCGACTCTTCATCAGACCCCGACAGCGAGGAAGAGGATGAAGTACCAGAAGCCAAGTCTGTAGCAGCTAAAATATCTGCAGATCAAATACGAACAAAATACGAACAATTAAAAGGCACTCGGCTGTATGTACGCTTCCCACAGAAACTGCCCTTGGATGATAAAGAGTTCCAGCTAAAAGCGAAGGCACTATCCCCACTAATTATAAAGGCACATAAGCCTCGTCAAAAACATGCACGTTTCTGTTTAGTCGAATTCGGATCTAAAAAAGATCGCGATACGGCGTTGGAGGCAATAAATACTGTTATAAAAGCCGATAAAGCTTTTAAGGATATTTTAGTATCTATTCCAAAAACCGAGTCGGAGGAATTTGTAAAGAATTTGGTTGACCGTAAGCAGAAGTCACTGGAAAAAAGGAAGGCCAAGTCTTTAATGAAACGCGCTACCAAAAAACAGCTGCGCAAAGGGACTTACACATCTTCCGTTGTAATAATCAATCTACCAAAAACAACTTCAGTTGCACAGTTGCGGAAACTTTTTAATAACGCTGTCGACATTCAAATTAAGCCGGGAAAGGGAAAATTCCGTGATTTCAGCGCTGCTACGGTTACTTTACCTTCAACCTATGATGCACGTGCTGTCCTCAAGCAGGATCTGAGCATTGCTGGTACAAAATTAATGTTGCGCTTCAAAACACAATACCAGAAACAGGAACCCAAACCCTTGAAACGAAAACTGGAGAGTACAGACACCGGAAAAATCTGCGTTGGAAAAAAATTAAAGGCGTTGAGTGAAAATAGCGTAGTCTAGTAGTCTAGCTTTATTCTTATGTATGAATATTTGATTTTAAATACAGAACTTTAAACTCAAAACAGCTGTTTACAATTTTTTTTAAATAAATACCCTATTTTTTCATATTTTACGACAAGAAGTTGTTTATCGAGTTAAGGCATCCACACAATAAGACGAAAGGACGAATAACTGAAGCAAATATAATACATCTAGCCCAATTTCTAAAAAGGTAAAAATTGTGTTTAAAGAGGGTTTGTCTTAGACAGCTTCGGTTGTGGTAACTCAATGTTCCCCTAACGTGCAAACCAGAAATATCTACTTATTGAGAGTCATCGTCGTTGCTCTACGCATCATCCAGGAACTTTGCCAAGTCCCGGGAATAAGTATCAAGAGTCCTTGAAAAAGGGTAAGCTTCGGCATAAGCAATAGGAATGCGTCCATTAATTTAAAAGTTTTTATTATACACGATATACATACATATATGGTAATAAGACCGATTTACTGGATATATATTGGTAATTAATAGTATATAATTATGAGATTTTTCTGTGCACAAGAGTACATTGACATATATTTTTGGGTTTTGTAGATGTATGTTAAAATGTGTATCTAACAATAAGCGGCGATATAGTATAATTCATATGTGTGATTCATTTTCAATAAACAATATTTAACATTTGCATATGATATACACTTTTATATATGTATAGACCACTGACTTGGTTTTAAGCTTTAGCTTTAATAGACTTGTTTAAAGTTAAATTAAAAAGCACTTTAAAAATCTGGAAAACGCTGAAAATACCCTTCAAAAACAAACGTATGTGTAGATGTTAATAGCAGTCTCGCCTCTGATGAAATATTGAATTTAGTTTGTTTTTCAACTGCTAAATATATGGCTTAGATTTATAAGCAAAGCCGATAGCGACCAAAGAATTTATATTAAAATACAGCTTTAGTTTGTTTATATAAAGTAAAAGCATACGCGATTTGCAGAAACACCCATTTGACAAAATTGTGAAAAGGTTTACAAGAAGCGATAAATCGAATTGTTAGGATCTTGTAGTAGACCCTCAACTGCATACCTTTAGGTAGTTTTCTTAGATTCTATGAATTGTTTTTAGTTATTAAAAATAGTGTAAATATATATAATCCAAATGTATATTTCTTTTCGTACCTATTCAAAAAATGCTCGAGATACAATAACTCGTCACTTAACCCCATTCCCCATCACGGCTAAGGGGAAAACTACCGTGATCGGAATTCAAAGCAGTCTCACATATTTGCTGTTATTGTAGTATATTTCCGATAAATACATACACATATATGTGCATAGTTTATTTTCTCTTTACACGGTCGCCATGAGCCTTTTTTTCAAGCTCAATGACGATTAATAAGGCTTGGACATCCGTTTGGTTTCTTGATTATTTTCATTTATCATTAAATATTCTGTATTTAATACGATTCAAAAAAACAAGCTCAAAAACATTCGCAGCTGTCTGGGTATGTAGTATAGCTGATAGGAAAATTATTATAGAGCCTTTTAAACATTTACTTAAAAACGGAAATGTTTCATTGCCTCTAAATGAATCACGGCTGCCATGAATATTTGCATTAAATCAGGGGTCATTTGATAAGGCGTTGAACATTCTCTTGAGTTGATGACTTCGAGTATTGGTATGTATTATCATTCTTTTGTTTTTCCTTTTATACAGCTTTAAAAAGCTGCTTCTGTATGTGGTATAACTAATTGAAAATAAAAGGTGCATCGCTATACCATAATTGAGTAAGTTTCGTAACAATAACGGAATTATTTATCCGTGAGGGGTTTTTAGCAAAAGGAATTTACGTGTGCAGCAGCCGATCTCTAGCTGAGGGCGAACAATTTTGAGTAGAGGCGAGAGTTGAGCCAGTCCCAGATGATGGCGGAGGTGGTGGTGGCTGAGCTGGGGGCGATCGCAACTGAATCGATGGTTGAACAAACCGCACACGTTCGGCATCCGTGGCGGAGTGGTTGCTGTTGTTTCCTGCTCCTCCTGCCGCATTGAAGGCCGACGTGAATGCGGTGGCGGCTCAAAGGGTGTGGTAATTGCGCTCGTTCCGAGCCTTATAAAATTTGTAGGCAACCAATCCGATGGCCAGCAGACCAAGAGTTAAAACAATGCCACCAATGAAAGAGGGTCCATCAAAACGGTGACATGGTGGAGGCGATGGTGCAGGCGTTGTCGGAGTAGGCGGAGCCGGAGTTGTGGGTTTTACAGTTGTCGTCGTATTCGATGCCGGCGTTGTTGTTGTGGCCGGTGTTGTTGTTGTGGCTGGTGTTGTTGTTGTTGTGGCTGGTGTTGTAGTTGATGTCGAAGTTGATGGAGTGGTGCTCGTGGATGGGGTTGTAGTTGGTGGCGTGGGACTTGTTGTATTTGGGCTGATTGTAGTTGGAACAGTAGTGGAGTGCGTGGTTATTGGGGTAGGAGCTGTAGTATTTGCGTCCGGCGTTGTTGGGATTACAGGCGTAGTAGTATCATCATGGGTATCTGCTGTGGTTGCTATACAATATATAAATATCGAGTTTATTCACAATTTTATTATAATTATTATTATTAATATTTACGATAACAGAACAGTTCATTGTTTGGCATTTCAAATCAAAATCTGAATAAATATGGTTGCATTATCTTATATGCGCAAATAAAGCACATTCGTATGCACAGGCGTACATACATACATATGTACATAAAGGAATACATACATGCATATATTAAATACGTACATATGTATTGCATATGTGTTGAACTATTTTGCGTCATTACGCTTACCTTCTTGGCAAATGTGCGAGGCAAATAGCCCAACAAACAGGAACAAGAAAAATTTTCCGTGCGACATCATTTCTTTGTTGTTTAATTGGGTAAATTGCACTGCACCGGATTAAATTCTCAATTTTTCAATATATGCGACTAACACGAATGATTAATCCTCCTCGACAGAACGGTGTCGTAAAACGAACCAACTAAATGTAGCTAGTTCAAGCTCATGCAGGGCTCAAGCATTTCAACGATGGTATCGAGTACTTTCGTTGTTTTTTTTTTGCATTTTTATGGTCATGTGGCAACCCAGTTAAAAATAATACTTATGGGACAAAAATAAATTATAGTATTCGCCATAGTAAAGCTGCATTAACTTTACGCACAAAAACTATTGCCAAAAGGTGAATTAAGAGTGTTGTGTGTTGGGAAAAATTTAATCATTCGTAAAGCTGTGGTGAACGAGCAGAAACACTGCTCCATCAATGTATATCATTTGAAGGCCGATGGGGATAGGATTGCTGCACTTGCACTTTCTGATTGATAACTGCACTGTCAATGTGCAAAAATCGACAGCGCTTATGCACACACATACATATGTATGTACATATATAGGCATATACTTAGGCGCTTTAAAATGACGAGTAGTTCTGGTTGTCTAATGGAAACCACATTGTATACATTATCTTGCGTTAACTTTTGTATTTTTAATGTGATTCTGACGGACTTTGCCTTGCTGGGGCCATAAGTTTTATTTTACGGGTATTCGTAATTAAATGACTGTAGTAGTAATATATACACTTCAACACTAGCCAATTCAGCAACAACAAAAACTATACAACTCTTTGATAACGACTAGGATGATTAATGTTGCTGATGCTATACAAACACACATGTGTTCGTATGTATGTATGTATATATAAAAGTTCGATATCTTTAATCGTTCGTATCAGGCTGTCAGTATAAATTGTTGGTTTGGCCAGTCCCCCTGCATTATGAATGTACATGTTTCGCATTTAGTTGACCGTTGCCTCTCTACGGTGCAAGTTTGGGTATTACTGTTTTTATTACCTTTCAAGTTTGCCGACAAGAAACGGGAGCTGTGAACAAAGTGGTAATAAACATTCAACTATAATTTCCACATATTAAGTGTGCAAAGTTTTTGGCTGTGTTAATGTGGCACATAAAGTTCATTTTATAGGCGTTATATGCATGAACCTACCTACTTATATGTACATACATACATATCTAAATTCATATCTTTTATTTTTGAAGTTTCATTACGTAAATTTTGTACTTATACTTATTGGTTAAAAACGTGATATTTAATTTCCAATTTTCTTTGCCACCTTTCAGTAAAAGCAAAATGGTGTCTGTTGACGATCTAAAAAAACTGAGACTGAGCCATCTATGTATTGCCATCACATTCTTCACGTGCGGCTTGGCCGTGAATTTCGCCCAATTGCTATTGCATATATTTGTGAAGCCTGTAAATAAAACGCTCTTCCGCAAACTTATGTACTATGTTTGCTATTCCTTCTATTGTCGTAAGTAGATTAGTATAGTACTAAATTATGAAGAGCAGCAACTTTAGTGTCCTCTTTATTACTTCTAGAATTGGTGTTTGTTGCCGATTGGTATGCGAACGGCAAAATGAGAGTTTATATGGATGCTGAGGAGGAGAAAAAGTATGGCGGACAAGAGCATGTACTATTAATAATGAACCACTCATATGAAATTGATTGGCTTGCTGGTTGGATGCTTGCGGATAAACTTGGAGTACTTGGCAATTGCAAGGCGTACGCTAAAAAAGTAATATCATACGTGCCTGTAATCGGGTGGGCCTGGAAGTTGGCAGAGTTTGTCTTCCTTGAACGCAATTTCGACAAAGACAAAGAAATAATTGCTAATCAACTAAAAGTTGTGTATTCCTATCCGGATCCCATTTGGCTGCTTCTGAATGCAGAGGGTACCCGTTTCACAGCCACCAAACATGAGGCTTCCGTTAAATTTGCACAGGAACGTGGCATGACAGTGCTTAAGCACCATCTGATTCCACGTACGAAAGGATTTACTGCAAGCTTACCCAGTTTGCGTGGCATCTGTCCAGTTGTGTATGATATTAATTTGGCATTTAAGCGAGATGCAAAAGTAAGCTCAAAATTATACTGAAAGTATACCATGTAATAATGCTATCTCCTTTAAGGTACCGCCAACGATGCTATCTCTGCTAAATGGGCAACCTGTAGAGCCATATATGTTTGTGCGACGCATACCGCTGGACGATGTGCCGGACGGTGAACAAGCTGCCGCGGCGTGGTTGCAAAATCTTTTCGTTGAAAAAGATCGTATTATTGACAGTTTCCATGAAACAGGAAGTTTCTTTAAAACCTCTGGATTTAAAGAAGTTCAATGCAAAATATATGACCGTAGACTCAGCACGCTGCTTAATTTTTTCGGCTGGGCCACAGTTTCTATATCTTTGATCCTATACTATCTGTTGACATCACTGTTAGCGCAAAACTGGACGGGTTTAATAACAGGTTTATCAATCCTTCTAATCTGTATGTATTATTATTATTACATAATTTATACCTACCAGTTGCACTTAATTATTTTCACATTTTTTTCAGTTTATATGCTTATGGAAAAGGCTATAAATATGTCAAAAATCAGCAAAGCATCTAGTTATGGAGCAACTACCACAAAAACAAGCACAAAGTAACTCTTAGTTACCATTTCTTTTATTGTTAACGAACAACATTAAACATGAGATTTTAGTCAATGAGCCGAGCTAATATGTACATTCGTAAAAATACAACTAATTTTAAAACTTGGATTAGCATGAGAACGCGTAATTGTAGCAGCTATCTTCCCCACACACTGAAACGGATTATATCTCCTTCAACTATACACAAGCTGATATATTTAGCTGAATATAGGGCCGAAATTAGGGAGTATTATTGTAGCTAAATGATTATTTGTTGTAAAAAATAGAGGATACAGAAAGTGTTGCGGATGGTTCTTTACTATTACGTTTCAGTAGTTGGTAGATTTATAAGACAAAATATGTATGTATTTGGATTTGCTAAAACCTATATTTAATGATGTAAAGAGTAAATATTCGTTAATAGTGGACATGGCATTTGTTTTTATTTTACCATTGCCGCTTATTTGCTAATAGTCTTACAAGTTCAAAGCTGATGAAGTTATATATAAAAAACAAAAAAATACAGACGAATTGATAACCTCCTCTTTTTTGAAATCGTTTAAAAACGGTTGCCACTTGTTAATGTTATTTAAGAGCTGACTTTCTGAAATTATGAAAAATAAATGATTGCAAATATGCAATTTATTGTGGTGGTTTTTGAATATCAAGGTTTGTCTCAGACTTTTAAAACTCAAGGAGTGGTCAGCCCTGATCGTTATTAATGAAAGCATCGATGACTTTTGCTTCTATCGATATGCATTTCATTACATATTCCACATCCATATATTTATTAATTACAGCAAATTGCGTACAATTTTAGTGGCAGGGGGCACGTTAATGTACGAAAATTAAGAATTCCATTCGGAAATCCAGAATATTAAATTTGATTTTTTTTTGCGTTAGTAGTGTTGTTGCGAGCTATCGATTCTTATCGACACACAGCTGCAGCAGCTAGTGGAAAACTGATACATAGCTCAACAATTTTTTTTGCAACGTCCCATTTTGTAAAACGTTCTTTGGAACGTTAATAAGTTTCCAAAAATAAAAAATACGTAACTCTTCGTACCTTTAATGCAATAATATGTGTATTTTGAAGGTGAGTTCCTAGGCCAAAACGCCAGTTAAATGGAGCTTCGGTAGTATATGCCAATCAGCTGCGTGAAAAGTGAAACGTAACATAAAGCTGCAAGAGTGTTTTTTTTCTAAAAAATTAAACCTTCATTTGGAAATAAATTATTCACTGAGCAATTAACGCACTGGAATGCCTTTGACAATTTTATGAGTGCTAAATATCAACTAATATAGTGGAAACGGTAACAACAACGGGAGTCGTAAAAATGCCTTTGTTCGAAAAAAGAAAGCATAGTATGATGACGTTGAAACTGTGTTAATTTTCTTACTCGACTCTGGCACAAACAGTTTATCTTTGGACACTTTTGCGCCCTTTTAATGGGTTTGGTAAATTAAACAATAAATTAGAATTATAAATAAATTAAAATATCTTGGTGTAGTTCAGTAAACATATGTATTTATTTATGTATACATGGATCAATCGTATGTAAATGCATACATGTATATGTATGTATGCATGTATGTATATATGATTGTACAAGTATTTATGTACTTGCATTTCATTATATACATACATACAAACATACATTCGAGTATAAATATACATACACAAATATGATTGCATATGTGTTTGTGTCCATGTCCCAACAACATGATATCGTAAAACAAGTTAAAACCTACATAGATATCTCAAATTTGACATCCAAGTGGTTATTTTTGTTCTCTTGCAGAATGCCAATTCAGGCGCCCTCATGGACAGACTTTTTAAACTGTCCCATCTGCTGCAATGAATTTGCGGCGATTCAACGAGTGCCGATCAGTTTGGGATGTGGGCATACCATATGCAAACTATGCCTGACGACGCTTTATAATCGGCAATGTCCCTTCGACCAGGTGAGTCCACGGTACAAATATTTCTGGTCAAGAAGAGGGATAATATTGAATCAAAACTCAAATTAATTTTGTAATTGCGCTCAGACGATGTAAATGTTTGGTTATATAATTGGAAACTCGATTAATATATACATATTTATTTTAATATTCAGACATTACCCGTAACTGACATCGAAAATTTGCCCATTAACAATGCTCTCCTCCAATTGGTTGGCAATGGAGCTGCCGTATGCCCGGTTAAAGCATCCTCTTCGAAAGAATCTGAACTCGCCGACCTCAGTCAGAATGTGCCCTCAAGCGTACAGGAACTTAGTCCAGAAGATCTTAAGTGCTATAAGCTTGGAAAGGAATGCATCGAAGACCTCGCATTATACCTTAAATCCTTCCTAAACAATGGAAATCTGCTGACACGACCAATGCAACGAAAGCTCGTTACATTGGTGAATTGCCAGCTAGTGGAAGAGGAAGGTCGAGTAAGGGCACTGCGAGCAGCTCGCTCGCTGGGAGAACGCACAGTGACGGAGCTTATTTTGCAGCACCAAAATCCACAGCAGCTCAGCTCAAACTTGTGGGCAGCGGTACGTACTCGGGGGTGCCAATTTTTAGGCCCGGCCATGCAGGAGGAGGTGTTAAAGCTGGTACTTTTGGCATTAGAAGAGGGATCTGCGTTATCCCGAAAAGTTCTGGTTATGTTTGTGGTTCAACGCCTTGAGCCTCATTTTCCTCAAGCTTCAAAAACGAGCATTGGCCACGTTGTCCAACTTCTCTACCGCGCCAGCTGCTTCAAGGTATCCAAGCGTGAGGCAGATTCTTCGCTGATGCAACTTAAGGAAGAGTTCCGTACGTACGACGCGTTGAGACGTGAGCATGATGCTCAAATCGTGCAAATTGCCACCGAAGCTGGACTACGAATCGCACCCGAGCAATGGTCGTCTCTACTGTACGGTGATATATCGCACAAATCCCACATGCAAAGCATCATTGATAAGCTGCAAACCCCATCGTCATTTGCGCAGTCCGTACAGGAGCTGGTAATTGCTCTGCAGCGTACAAATGATCCTGCAAAATTGTCGAGCATACACGACTATTTTCAATATCTTGCCAGGATAGATCCATGCATTGAGACAGCGCAATGGGACGTTGTGGCGAAAGCTCTGGATGCGGTGAAACAGGCTGTGGTGGGGCTTGTGCACTTTTTACAGCACCACGGTGTCCGCAAACCGCAAGACAACATTGGAGGGGGTACAGCCAACACGAGCAATAAGTACAAGATCAGTTTGTGTCGGGATTTAAATGCAAGGCGTGTGTGCCCTCGTGGCTCCAGTTGCACATTTGCTCATTCTGAAGAAGAATTGGAACGGTATCGTGCTCGCAATAGAGCGAAACACTTGAAGGCTCCGTTGCCCAGCATTCCAGCCATAAACCATATGGTTGGAAATTCGAAGAAATCAATGAACATGGGCGAGGAAAGCAGCCCTCATAGGGGTCCGATATTACCGATGTCGCCCATGCGATATATGCAAACGGCAAATATTGGTAATAGGGGCTTCGTCGAACCGAACTGTACCATTCCATCGCACAGTCAGTCCTCCGGCTCCAGTCATCCTCCGCAACAGCTAATTCACCCACATCACAGTCCAATATCCCATAAGACAACAGGACTCAATGGGCTGCTGCCCCCATCTCCTTATGAACCACGTTTCAACTTTGCTGCAACGCCAACGCAGTCCGTCGGTCCACCGGGTCATACAATTCCACAATCGCGAAATTCAAATTTGGATTTCCATGCACATTCTGGAAACCTTCAACAACAACCACAACACAATGTGACGACCGCCATAAACCCACCGAATTTCAACGTCAATAGTAACATCCACAATCACGCCACGACGATGGCGAAGAATCTGTTCCCATCTGACGTGTACCAGACACATCCAGCTTACTTCAGGAATGAGTGCGCTGGAAGTAATGCCTGCAACAATAATGTAGAATTAGCAGGAAAACTACACAGTGGTACCCCCAGTATGTGGGATCACTCATTCTTGCCGCCGCAGCAGCCTACAATGGGACCGTCCAGCAAGCACTCAAATCGACCGATGTCTATTATAACTGCAACATCTGATACCTCATTTTTTGAAAAGAAACCGCCGAATAATATTAACATTAGCCTGGACATAAACAAACAGCTGAGTGAAATTGCACTTGAGGTAGATGCAATGTCTATGCCCGCTGATTCCTACAATAGGCCAAAAAATACCAACTCATTTTCATTTTGGAATTCGAACAAGACGTTAGCTGAAGGCAATAATGACAAACATTCGTTTCGGGACACGTCCAACTTTGTTCGTTCTGACTCCATACTTGATGATGATGCATCTACTTTTGATATGCCCTCTGGATCTTCTATGGGTAGTCCCTACGGACCAATTTGTCCGAAGCGATCGATACCGCCGACTAACTGGAACAATTGGATTATTGAAAATGACTCTACAATTAATCCAGAGTTCCTGAGTAACAACAATACAAGAGTCACAGATGTAAATTACACAGTGTTTCCAGCTTCAACACATAACAAACGATCCATTCAACTACAACCCATTCAGAACGAGGCGAAGGCGGCCGGCAACATATCAAGGTTTAACTTCAATAACGTAAATGTTGCAGATGCTAGGCTCAAGTCATCAAAAATTGTTGTTAGCAATGATAATGCTAACATAAACAAGGTGATTCCAGAAGATTATTCACTCACAAAAACAATCAATCTAAACTAATAATTGTTTTTATTCATTTAATTCTCAGAACTCAGGTGAACGTGATAATGTATTTATCTGGAAAAGTGATGTGAATGCAAATGCGGCCAATTTAAATTCGACAAGTAATTATTGGAACAACAGCGAGGAAGCTTTATCACAGTCGTCCCATAATGAAAGACTGAAGCACCAACAGCTCTTGGGGCGTAAACCTCAGTTAATGTCCGAAGATAGCTTCGAGGGTGGCATTGATAGCGGCAAGATGAGTGAATTGGAGAAAGAATTAAATGATATTGTGGAATTAAACGATAGTGGCATTAAGCTAGACTGACTAAGGCCATTTGGACATCATCAAACTAAAGCAAAGTAAAAAGAAATACAATCATTTGAAACATTTCTACACCTGCAGGACACTTACAAGGTTTGTGCTCGAACATATAAAACACCATGCGCGAAAGAATATAAAAATTGCAACTGTAATTTATCTAAATATTTAAATGCCGGGCTTAAGTTGCTACACACACAAAAACTATATATACTGAAGAGAAAAAAGACAGATCGGTTGAATTTTAGGTAACTAAAGCTAATGGTCTTCTGGCACTAGACTAATAACTAAACTTAAAGACAGATCACATGACTTGAATTATGATTTACATTTTTATTTTTCCCTCCTAACGCCTTTTTCCACAATCAAGCAACATTTCTAGTCTGGTGTTTAGTGTAGTGTCATAAGATCCGAAAGCATTGGGCCGCATTAGTTGAAGTTTCAAAAGAAATGTAATACCAACGTAGGAAATTTGTATTTTTCTTGTTTTCCAATTCTGCAAGCCAATTAAATGAGTAATCATGTATTTGTTTATACTATAGGGGAGTTCGTATAAAGTGAATTCTATAAAATTTCTATATTGATGGAAACAAATCAAGCAGGACAGAATAAAATCACGGAGACTGCAAACTGAATGCTAAATCTAGGAGCAGAAATGAATAATAATCACATCCCCATTTAACTAATCAGTTTTTGTTTATAGTCGAGATCGGTATAGATTGGGTTAAAGATAAACAATTTGTATGTGTTCTTTTTTTCTCATCCCAACGGGGTTTTTTTTATTTATATACTATATGTTATTTTATTATACGTTTTGTGCACGTTAAATGCGACAGATCAAATTGTACTCTTTTATGTCTGTGAGAAACAACGTTATCTAAGCATGTAATAGAGACATAAAATTAATAATTCTCAAAATCGCAGAAACTAAACTATGATAATGCTTTTAATAAGCCAAGTTTGAAAATGTTAGTTAACTACAAAGCTATTTAAATATCTTCAAATGAGTAATTTCGATGGACCCAAAATTGTTTTGAGTTTATCACTTGAGCACAAATTTAATTTTTATTTTCGTTAAAGGAAATAGTATACGTATATTAGTCTCGCACCATATCAATCTTATTTATTATTGTATGTTTTTTATTTGAGCTCATACATATATATTTTAACATCGAAATTATTCGTCGACACGTTGTACAGTGCAATTCCAAAGCGGAAAGATAATTATATATGAATTTTTCCTTTGTCCCTTACAACAAAGCTGCCACATAGATAAAGGTTTATAATTGTAGCTATTTCCCCAGTTGGCAAACACAGTTTAGTGAAAGAGAATTATTTAATAGTTTTAACTGAAAACTAAAAGTGCATAGAAAGTTCTTAGAACACATGTTTGTTTCACTTTATTTAAGTCTCATCCATAGTTTCGGAAGTGCTTTCAGGGTTAGATTAGCCAATGTCCAGATTTTCACAATTATTTATACACTACTAGCTATTGATCGAACAGAATGTATTACATTTTTTGTTGTTAATTTTTAAAAATATGAAATCAAACGCTATTTTTGTATGTACTAAACACAAATTATAAAGAAACCACGTGGGACGCGAGCTTTGTATTGTCACTTGGCTTCGGGTGTAAAAACCAATATATCCCGCCTGCATCTATGAGCCCACATATACACACATATTCGATATTTGATATGAATGTGGATGAATGTTTATATTTCTTAAAGAAATTGTAATACCGTTATTACGCGATGTTGTTAACTATTGTACTATATTATTAAATTTATTGAAAATAAATTTAAATCATAACATGTCCTTTATGTTGTTAATGTAAAATTATTTAAAGAGAGTTAAAGTCAGGGCCTGGATAAATGTAAACTATATTATTATTAACCAACATAGGAGTCTATGGAATGGGAAAACGTATGTAATACATGCGTTGGTTTTTGTAATGATATATTAATATTATATATTAATGTCAGTTGAAACCCGATTACCAATTACCGATTACGCAAGAGTCAGCAATTTTCTAAATGTAAATACATTTTGGAACTATTATTATAGCAAATTATGCGATAGTGTTAATTTATTTTAAACAAATGATATGTTAAAATTAAATCGTTTTTTAGTTGTGATTGAATTAAAACAATCTTTGAATGTAAATCTATTTGACATTCAATAATAAATGTATTTTCATTAAACTGATGAAATTGTATGTATAAACAAATGAGATTTACGAAAGGGGCTTACCAATTACGAGTTTTCAAAATAACCCCCAAAATATGTATCTACTTTTTATTAATATTAAAGCTTCAATAAGTTTGCAGTCCGAACAAGAGTTATTAAATCGTACTCCCGCGTGAGTATGATACAACAGGAACATTGTCGCTATCATCCTTAATGGAATGATCTTTCTGCGTACTTAAGCCTGTTCATATGTGTTGGTCAGACCATCTACGCACGATAACTGGCCGCTTAGCTGAAACCCAATGGGTTCAAGACTGTGTTGTTGAACTAAATTTGGGTTTTTTGTTTACCACTTTAGCATGGCTATCATCTTTCCGAAACAGCCTTTTTATCAGGCATACATTGTCTCTATAATTGTTTTTTCGAGCAAAATTTATTTTCAAAAATATACATATATATGTATGGATACATTGCATGTAGATCTGTTCACGTATCTTTGATTCTAAATATTAATTATATACTAAACGTAATTTTAAGCAGTTTCAAGTTTTGTTAATATAACCATTCTTATTTATTTCTTTGCCAATAAAACTATAATATATATAACAAATCAATGTTTTAGATTTGTATTCTTAATTTGAAAATTTATTTGACTATTGTTTAAAACTAGTTTTGGTTTGTATTTGCACCTGGTACCATGATTTCCTTATATATGTATATTACAACAACTAGTGGCATACATATCAACATACTTAAACACAGATATGGAGCGGATTTTTGAAGCAGTTATATAGAATATTAGTGAGTTGAATGTTATGGTTTACCACTATTATAAATAAAGTATTGATAAGTAACTAGATATGGACAATCTATGTAATGTCCTTAATAGGCATGGAAAACCAATACACCGAAAATCTATATGATAAGAGCTTCTGTTCCTAATTTAGACTATATAATGTGTACTAGTTCAAATGCAGCTAACAGCGTATTTAGCCAAAACGCACTCTTTACCTTTTACGAAGGTGGTTCTATAAAAATATGAAATAAAAACCCCACAAGTTTGTTAATACTAAGTTAAACATATAATGAAATCAAGTTTATCGGTAAATTTTCAGTACACCCAATTATGAACATTTGAGAAATCGAGTGCGTTTTTTGCTGAATCGTGCACAAAAAACTTGCTAAAAATAAGAAAACGAGTAACCAACATAATACTTGTAGCCCTTTCTATAAAGGTCTTCGTTTTCGATGGCCAAAAATTGCTTATATTTGCGACTCTACACCTGCTGCATAATTTCTAAATGCACGCAGTGTCTTACAACGGTACCTATTTATGGTGCACATAATTCTTATACCAATCTCTTCCAAGTTAACGCATAAAAATGTTTAATGGCGAAGACAATACGGACAAAAAATACTACATAAAATATTTACATTATCAGGCAAGCTCCTATTTCAAACAGAAATAGTATTAATAATTAAAAAGATTGATCAGATTTACAAGTGAAGCAGAGTTTATTTAATCAGTGTGTTGAAAATTAAATCAGGAGAATGCCTGAACATACACAGATTCCATTAATAGTAGTGTGTAATTCAAAAACGGCCGAAAGAAAAATATAGTATACTCTATACCGTACATGTTCCGAAAGTAGTTTTCGATCACGAATATTGTTATATTGTAACTACATATGTAGCACTGTTTAATTTGTATTTTTTAAAACACTACTAATTTCAAAATCGAAACGAATATATATATCTTTGGAGGATCCAAACAGCCGGTTAAAAACTGATAAAGGATATTTTGAAATGAAATGAATGATAATTAGAGCCTACGTTAACATTACTATCTGCGTCAGCTGAAGATAGAAGAATGAACTCATTGACTAGAACCTGCCGAGATGCTTGCGCTGCAATACACGAGATGTAAATAGATTGCTTGTACTCTATGAAAAAAAGAGTGTGCAGGAAGTTTGTATTATAAGTTGAAGATCCTTAAATTGTGATGATGTGAAATTTACAGTTAACATAAACTATTCCCAGTTTAATGGGGACAAACAAATATCTTTATATTTCCATAGATATTATTACTTCTAAACCAACTATATACATACATAGCATTGGATTTAAATTAATACAAAAATTTAAAAAAAATAAAAAACGTCAGAAAAAATTGTATCAGTATAAAATACCAACCGGTAATTATGTACGTAATGTACATATTTGCCTAAAAACATGCACAGGAATACATGCAATCATAAACAAAAAATGTAACAAATAAGTTGCATAGCCAGTAATAAAGCAGTGAGGTGTTTAAACTAAAACTATACCCATGTTAAAATGTGTCTGATCGCATCTTGTTCTCAACTGTTGCTATCAGTTAATAAAATGTTGTTAACAAGTAGATGACGCTGATCTTCTTAAGTGTATTAGAAATTATTGAATGAAGTGTATTTTATATGTGTCTGAATTCGAAATAAAAAACTTCTGCTTCAAAAATCGATGGTTGTTTGAATACATTTGATAATTTAATCCTTCATTGATATACATAGACTCACTAGGTCGACTAGCTTCTCACTCGAAATGGTGAGGTGGTTGCAGAAGGTATACCATGTTTATTCCTACTATATATATTAGTATTAGCAGGTCTGTTATTTTATCATAGGGGGTATATTTATTATTTAATATATAATATTTCTCTTTTCACATCGTGCTCATTTCCAGAAAAGTCTCTATAGGATCTAATCAGTAGCACATTACCTTGTTAGCTACGGAAAGCTAGAGCATATACAAGTGCAATTAATATGTATGTAATTTCTAACAGCTTGTAGCTGTATAAATTGTGCAGCTGGACAACACATACTTACTGTATGTATATATACTTATGTATGTAGGTACATTTTCAAATTCAGTGAACATTTTAGAAAACTTTTGAATTTTCAGAAATTGTATTTTAGTTCTCACCTACCAGGAAATAAAACTGAGTCTTAATTTCAGCTTTCTAGCTCTTACCATTTCTGTCTGTGCATTGTTTACATATAACATATTTGTGGCTTTCCTTTCCATGGAAAACCTCCAATAATTCACGCCCCTGTGAAATCTATTGTGCAGTTTATTTTGTATTCTTTGTTATACTCTAACAAATCGAGTCTGAAGATAATCGGTTTAAGAATTCACATTTTTCGTACAAACTTTGTAGTGTTTTATTAATCTAAGAAATGTTTTTTTATTTGTGGGAGGTATTTTGGATCTGGGTCCGCTCCATTCTACCATTTCTTCCATGTTTTTAGTTACAATTTCGTTTATTGTTTTTTTAATTTTTTAAATTTATATAATTATTCTACACATATGTAGGTACAGAGCACAGAATCGGTGTACCTGACTTTAGCTTTTCCATTTGTTATACTTTGCACATAAAAGGTACAAGAGTATATTAGGATTCAGGGAAGTGAAATATGTAACAGCCAGAAGGAGGCGTGGCAGACCCCACAATATATATTCTTGGTCAGCATGACAAGACGAAATGATCTAGATCTGTCTGTCTGTCAGTGCGTCCATATGAACACCTGATCGAGACTATAGGAGATAGAGACACACAAAATTAGTACACAGCTACGTCATGTGTGTTTGCAGTACGAGTTTGCTTTATTTGTTTAATACACTCCTCACTCCCCTATAGGAGATTTTCCGTAACACCGTTCGTATAATCACATATTTTTCGAAGACTTTAAGAGCTAGAGATCCCAAATTTTAGTCCAAGATGCCTTATATGAATACGAAGAATATGTGTATTTTAGACCTTTTTCTCCTTCCCCCTACTCGCCCGCTATTAGTGATTTCCCATAACTCTGGTAATTCTTGGAATTTTCAATCAAATTTGGAAGTTATTGCCATAAATGTAATCTCTGCCCAAGATCTGCTCGCAGCTGTTCTTCCCACTTTGGCTCAATTCTATACCGCGCACATGCGTACACAAAGAGTTTTTCAAATTCAGGGCACCCGACTTTTTTTCAACTCGTTTATACATATAGATTATTGTATTGAAGATATGAACATATTAGCAGGCCTGCGTCTAATCATGTTTAGGTCCATGATTTCACTCTACAAGTTATGTATATACTCGTAGTATACATATACACAATAATTAATGCTCTATCGCAATTTGAAATTGTATCAAAATCGATCAATTCTAAGAAAATTTATTAGCGGAACAACGTTACTCCAGTACTACGCCCTCAAACTTCAGCATCGAGATCGCACTTCGTCTTTTTCCTTCCATATGCACGCTGATAACACAGCGGCGAAAAATTGTTTATGTTCAGTGTGCTGGGCTCGCTCCACTGCACCAATAAAAGTTGGGGCGTCCATAATTATTCTATTATGTGTTCGGCAATACCTTCCTATTCTACCCATCATAGTTTAAAGGTTAAAAAGACTGATATGTAATACTTACATGAGTTTATTTTTAAATAATTTTTTATGATTTCGGTATCCTAAAATAAATAATGAAAACTGTGAGACTCAATTAGTGATAGAAACGAATTTTAACTAAGGTCTTTTATGCTTTTTCAGTACTTTGAAGATCAATGAGTTCGGGAGATCATTTGTCCCACAATCCCAGCTCTCGCATTTTGGTTTGGAAGTAGCGCTCAAGGGAATTTGCACAGCGAAAATACTCAGTGTCAGGTGAATTATAAAAACGGCAATTCGTAAATATGCGAGCCATATCTGCCATAAACAAACGTCGTGTTTGATAATAGCCTTTTTTCAAACGCTCGCCCATTGTTTTTAGGTCCATTGGGTACTTAATGTGGTCGTAGTAGTCGGGCACCTCAGCAGCAGTAACGGGGCGCAGAAAGGGCCAGGCTGTGTTATGTTGGCGCACCGACTGCAAAACAGATGCAAATGCAGACGCCAGTTTTTCTGGATCAGATGGTTCCTCTAGGGGACGTGAAGCCCGGGCTGGGCGCATTTGAGGCTTCCAACCAATTTCCCTAAGACCAGGAATAGACTCCACAGGGATAGACGGCAGACCTTCTTTGAAACAGGTTAGACCTGGTCTAACTTTTTGAACTTCATTGTGACGTTGAGCAATTAGTTCCTTAAGAATTTCACTTTGATTGCGGATCACTGAAATTGGAAAAAGATGAGTACAGCTATTACAACTCTGACATTTAAAATGAACTGACCTGCAATAAATTGTGTATTCACAATGCTTGGATGCAACTCGCAGTGCATAAGCGTTGCACTATCATATTCCTTAATGTACCCAGCATACACAGGTCGAGCCAACTTGATATCCTTAGAGAAGCCTTGCTTTTTAAAATAGCCAATGGCATCACAATCGGCAAATGTAAGCAAATGCTTAATGCCACGTTGAATGCTGTAATCTTTCAAGTGGTTCATCAAATGGGTGCCGTAGCCCTTAACTTGCTCTGACATGGTAACTGCGCAGAAGACAATTTCGGTGAAGCCCTGGGTAGGAAACGGACGGAAACATATGCCTCCAATGGGCTGGTTCTCTTTAATGAGCGCTAAGGTTTTATGTTTTGTATCGAAAACCAGTTGACTTATGTACTCGCGAGGCATCTCGGGAAGTTGATAAGCAAACACAAGCTGGAGACCCAACAGCCACAACATAGTTTGCTTATCAACTGGTTTTGTGAGTGAATTACCCACAACGTGAAATTCGATGGCACGCTTTTGCTCCTCGGCCTTGACATTTTCATCACGAGACACATTTACAGGAAACAAAATTTCAGCTTTGTTCGTTGTTTTTGACTCTGATACTGCTTTCATGGCACGCATTACCACTTCTGTGGGAAGGTCATCTTGATTTTCGGTAATACGCTCCAGCACATCCTTTTTGGCCCTCTTGTTGACCGGCTCTCCAGCGCTTGAGCGTTTGCCATTTGCAGCTACTACGGAACTACCACTGTTAGTCGCAGGTATAGCTTCCTGGTGGCGCTTACGTTGCTGTATGACAAATGCATTTGGTGGCCTGTAATTGGGGTCCCATATAGGAGAATTGTCTTTTAGGAGCTCAGCTTTGAGTCCTTCTAGAAACTTCGGCATCAATGTTATTATTGAACGCTTATCCTCCGGAAAGCGATCGCGCTCAGATATGCATTTCTTTTTCAGTTGCTGAGACATGTATTGGAATACGGTGCGAAGTAGCGTTTTTCCAAACACGAGTGACGTTTCGAATTGGCGCAAGGAGTTACAGAAGGCAGGAACGTGGCAAAACACCAACCATCGCGTGTAGTTTATCTTATAATTGGAGGCATCCTCGTGGTTTAAGTCTCCACGACGTGCAGATGGCGACTCAAAGTTGTAGTGGTTTAAAAAATTCAAGAATGTTTTTGCCACTTCAGTCATTGTTTGAAGTTCCGTTGGATTTAAATGGTTGAACTTATAAAACACAAGGGATAAGACTGCCTTGGTGATGCAGGGGGATTCGAATGGTGGATCGCCCAAAGGTCCACGGATGGTGGGATGCTGACGTGTTAGCACGCATTGACGCAACAGCCGAAACAAATATAAATATACCTTTTTCGTGTCCTCATCTTCCACCCTCTGCATTGACATAAACAAGTTCTCCATGTCAATAATGGCACCCAGTAACTCATCCATGCTAGAGTTCGAGATGCCATCAAGATGAGCGATGTGGGCACTCAGCGGATGGCGGCAGCTAACGTTACGACACTCCTCACTAAACTCCGGGCAATACGAAGACTCTACATCACGGTGTCTGTTCTCCTGGGGAGTTTTCCATCCGGTGCAACGGCAGCCCTCCGTCTGGCAAGCGGAGTACATCGACAATTTCGCCAGTTTCTGTGATACTGGCAAGCTGAACACTTTCTGCTTACGCTGTTGAATCCGCTGTAAGCTGTTTTGCCGAGTTCCTTCCTGTGCGTTCCCTCCACCTACATTTTGGGCAGACGAAGCTGCTGCGCCATTTGCTGTTTGCTGCTGCTGGGCAGCAGCATTCGCACTATTGGCTGCATCGCTGGGTTGGGTTTTTAACGTTATGAGCGATCCGCCGGACATTCCTCTTTACGATTTTCCCTGTTTGTGGGCTGGGAATAAAAGTAATTCAGTTGTAGTATTTCACAAATTCCTATTTCACAATTTAAGAAAATGCTGGCAATGGGTTGCAAAGTATCGATATAATTTTCAAGATGACCATGCATCGGTGAACTGAACTAGTATAGCGCGCAAAAGAAATGAAAAGGAACTGGTATAATGTACAAACGCTGAGACTGATCTATCATCGCTTTTTGAATTTGAAAACTGAATACGTATTTATGTATCCGGGTAATAATTATCAATGTAACACTAGTGAAAAATGAATTTGGATCCTTTCGATGTAGAGGATCATATCGAAAATTTCACTATTCGGAAGCCAAGAAACACACCTTTAAATTATGCGCCTAAGGAAAAGTCAACTAGGCAAGGAAAAAGGATTCACGAATGCATTCCCTTGCTCCTTGCTGATTTATCGCGATCATCCGCAGTTCCCGACCATGAAGGAGTGTTTTCCGTTTTTAATTCCCCGTATTCGGCCCTGCACTTTCGCACTTGCATTGTACACGTCTTCGTGGCGGGTAGAGGAGTTTTTAACAAATCGTTTTTTAGATACTTTGTTGATGACGGCACCGCCAGCATGGAAATCAGCATTTTTAAAAAAACACAAGAACAGAATACCATAACATCGCTATATAATGAAGCTTCAGCGTTATCTAGAAGCCAAATCTCTGAAAATGACCGTAAGGTTTCATATAGCATGATGCGCTTACTGAGCAAAGCCATGGAATACGTGGACGGGTCTAAAATTACGCCGGGCAGTAACGTTTGCCTATATGGGCGGCCTAAAATCTTCAGGGAAAAAGTGGGACTTGACGCGTTTTCCTTTTGCTTAGACAATGCTCAGTCACGCCATATGGAGATTGCATTCAATGATAATTTGATAGATTGGTATAATCTTCATAAAATTAAAGAGTAGTTTAAGTTTTGTGTATTTTTACTGATAAAAAATCAAATTTAGTTTGAACAGATTCGCCTGCCTTCTGTTTACAAATATTGTTGCAACCAGTTCAACTTAAGAACGATGACTGTGGGTTTATGTTGTTTTTGCTCGAATCGCAGCACGCTTGCCAGTGACAGCTTGGAAGCCAGACTTGATGCTTGCCACAGAACATCTGGAGCCGCAAGACTCGCATTGCAGGAAAAATAGTCGTGTGTCCTTCTGCAATATGGTTTCCGGTGAACGGCAGGTGTGACAGGTTACATATTCTTTAATATAGCGACGTAAAACATTTTCAATCTGTTTGGGCTGGAAGCGGCCCTTTATAATAAGCTGTTGGTTGCCATCCATGGAGCCGCTTGTGCCCAGCTCAGCCAGCAAAAAGTCCAGCAGATGTTTTGGCAGGCGATGCAATGTTTTGGCTATATCCATGAAGTTAGCAAAAGAAGTTTTCTTTGTGCCAACCCGCAGTACTTGCGGCGGTCGCATCACGAACTTCGGCTTGCGTCCCGCAGCCATGTCGGGATTTTTGTCCAGAATGATCTCGAAAACACGCTTTAGCAATTCGTCATATGTATAGTCGCGGTCGGATCCAGCCCAGGTAGTAGTGTTGCCTTCAACTGTAACCAGATGATATATGTAAGTAGGTGTCTTAATGGGTACTAGTGTTAGCTTACAATTTTCTTTGTCTTCGTTTCTTTCATCCTCAAGTTTATCGGCGAATAATTCATCCAAGTCCTTCTTTTTGCTCTTTTTCTTCTTTTTCGCCATCGAAAAGTCCATGTCTAGGTTAATCTCTTCTTCTTCGGGCTCCTCGGTTGCCACTATATTGGCGATGTCATCGCCTTCGCCAGGTAAAGCATTCTCCAACTCATCCAAGTTAAATGGTTTCTTCTTTTTCTTCTTCTTTTTGCCAAAACTTTCTAGATCTAGATTATCTTCTACTTCGGCAGTTGCCGTATCGTCGGCTTCGTCATCCTTGGGCTCCTCCTTCTTGCCATCGTCAAGACCCAACGCTGCATCTAGATCGAAGGTAGTCTTCTTCTTCTTCTTCTTTTTCAATAAAGTAGGATCAAACCCCTGAAACATATAAAAGTTCATTCATTAAATTTATTCCGATTCCACTAACATAACCTCAATTAAGGTGCACAAGGCTTCCCAAGCACACATCCACACAGACATATGCATATCGGCTACTCCCACCCAGGTCATTTACTTTTGCCGACACCTGCCAACAATACTTACGTCTTCCGCATCCATTATATGTTGATTATTTAAGGGTCTATGCACCGTAAACAATTTATATCCGCGTAAATACACAATTTATTGCAAATTGCATCAGAAAAAGAAAACGCTGGTGACAGGGCAGCTAAGTGTTCGAAAAAAATCGTTATAAAAATCTACTAAAAAATACAGTATAAGTGTTGGTAAACGTCGAGAGCGCGGCCTGCTCTGCGTTTTAAAATTTTTATTTAGTTTAGGCACTTAACTCAGAGCCCCTCCATGGGCGATAACTGCTGTACTTGCTCCGGCGCGAAATAATCCAGCATTTAATTGTGTAGCTTCTTTTTATAATTTAAAATAATTTCCCAAAATATCGTAGTTTTTAACTATTTTATTATTATTAGTCAAAATTTTACTTCTTAAGTCATTAGGAAACATGCCGTCTAACAAATTGTATGGTATTGCTTAATTTTGGCACTTTTTGGTTTTTTACCCTAATTCATAATTAAAGATTACCGTTGAGATTAAGATATAACCCGTTGGAATCAAAATAACGAGTCAAAAAACGATATACATAGGTATTGCTAAATACATTATTAAAAACTTTGTAATATTTGTATGGCGACAAATTTATGAATCATATTGACTCAGACTCTGTATTCTCAAATGCAGTCTTAAAAACTGATGATATTTCATTTATCATATCACTAGCGACCATGCTGCGGCCAAACTTTTGAAATGCTGCAGCATTGCATAACTTTACCAAGTGACTGGCTGCACACGCGGCTAAATACGCTGGATTGGATTGGTTCGATTGTAACGCCCAATAAAAGAAGGTGGCTAGTGAGCCGCTAAGTAAATCCCCCTGACCACCACAACGTCGCCCAGACCCACCAATTGGCATCGCATACACCTCGTTTGTGTGTGGGATATGGATCTTATCGTTGGCGCCTTTTTCCAATACGACAACCCCATCCCCCAAAAGGCACATCTTCTTACGTATAACTGCAGCATCATCGCTGAATAATCTACTAAACTCCATCGCGTTTGGAGTCAATATAACGTTGCGTTTTCCACAAACCAAATCTAAATTATTGTTTAATATGAATAGGCCATCGGCATCAATTACAAGGGGCTTTCCGACTTCCAGGCACAAGTTTATAAGAGCCGTGGCAGTCTTCAGCATAAGCGGTGCTCGTCCCAATCCTGGGCCAATTACCTAAACAGAAATAATATATAGTATACATATATAAAAGTAGAATGGTATACTCGTATATACATATGTACATATATGCGAACATATTTAATATACGCACAACAACATGTAAGCGCTCTAGCCATGGCCTTATTTCTTCCACAGCATCGTCTCGGTCCAGCACTGGATGAACTATCAGTTCGGGGCTGTATGACTTGATAACAGGCGCTGCATCGCGGTGACAAAATACATGTGACAAGTCTGCTCCCACTTTCATGGCACTCAACGCAGCAAAGTACGGAGCTCCAGTGTACTCAAGGCAACCTCCGACAACACCGATTCGTCCATATTGGCCTTTGTGCTTTCCATTGCTGAGCTTTGGAATTACTGTCCGAAACAATGTCAGCAGTTTTTGCGTGTGTACAGGTATTTCTATAATCTTGGACATTGTTTGCTAATATCTCTTGGAATAGTAGTGTTTCGATAAATTTAATAATCGATAGATCTTGAGCTTCCGAAGCTTAAAACCGTCAAGGCATTTATTTGAGTTTCATGCCACCAATAAGAATTGAACAGGAATATGTTCAAAAACGTCTAAGCTGCTTAACCGAATGCAAGAAAATGCACTTAATTTTTTTAAATTTCCCCATTTGCCTTGTTGTTAAGCAATTCGTACACCTGTGGGTAATTTAATTAGTTTACGCAAAACAGGTGTTATTGGCTATTATTGAGCTTGTTTTGTGTATATAACAGAAGTAATTTCGTTCAAATTGAATTCAACACTTATAGTGGTATTTTCTTTAAGGAGGTTCACACAAAATCTCTCACTCAAAAAACATGAGAATACATCTACAAGTTCTGTGGAAAAGACACGAAAAGAGTGTGATAGGTATTGTAATACTTTTTACAAGAAGGAAAGTGACATTCACAAACCAATAGATTAGCACTAGAAATAATATGCGGCCGTTACTATATATATGTATGTATGTATATGTAAGTGCAGTTATTACCGAAATAAGTTTAGTTCAGAATTTAAATTCAACAAATGTAGTTGTCTTTTCTATAACGAAGTTCACTTAACATTGCTTTCCAAATATGTATATTAGAATAGAGTAGTTAGCGAGGTATTGTATTGACGGACAGACAGGGATAGATCGACTCGTCTTGTCATGCTTATCAATAATAATAATAATAATGATATGTATGTATATACATACTTTGTAGGGCCTGCCACGTCTGTTACATTTTTCACTTTCGCCAAAGCTAATATACTCTTGCACGTTTTTGGTACAGAGTAGAAAAACCAAGCAATTTATTTTATATTCTTTGTGAGAGTTAAAAACAGTTTTATAAATATAGATAAGAAATTTATTAGGAATTTATTCAAAACAATATTCTTAGATATACGTCGATGAATACGGCAAGATATGAACTAGATGATAAACAAAATTGAAAACAATAAACGAAAAGGCATGTTAAAAAATAAAAAAACACGAAAGAATCAGATACACTATATCATCATTTGCAATAAACAAATGCAAACAGCATTTTGATAAATAGACAAAGCTAAAGTAATAACGAGGTTGGCATTACAGTCCTACGTAAGGCAGTTAAATTATTGTGTAAATGCACTTTTAAGTGAATGACCAAAACTTGTCGCTGAACCTATAAAGCTTAGTGTTGACTGGAGTGAATATAAATTCGACTTGACATAGTATTGTCTGGTGTGCTGTAAAGCTCACATTTACAGATGAGCATTGTTCGGTTTTGTTAGCTCCGGTCCAACTCCGCCCGCTAGCCTCTGCACTAACAGCCCCACTTCATAAGACAGATTCTCCGTGTCCTTAAATAATATAAAAGGGTAAATTAATATGGATTCAGTTTTATGATTTCTGTAGTTACTTCTTTCGTTGCAGCCTCCGCATACACTCGCACCACATCTTCTGTTCCTGATGGTCGCACAAAGGCGCGCCCCCGTTTGTAATTCGACACAGCCATATTTATTTCATCTTGTAGCCCGACGGGTTTCACACAAATGCGCTCCGCGTCAGTTGTCGTGATGACATTCCGATCTTTAACCTTAATTTTCAACTGCCTGTTTGGTAGGTCATTATAGGTAGAGATCCAATCCTTTACGTCCCATCCTTTGTGATTGAGAATTGTCTCAACGAGTAACATATCCGAGATGGCATCACCAACGGTTTCATTTATGAGATCTATCAGAAGCAGAAGTGTCTTCGCCTTGGGATTAGTAGTAACAGCCTGAGCTATTACACTTTTTGCATAATCGCTAAAGACGATGGTACCGTGTCCATTAGCCTCAAAATATATACCCACATCATACTCCAGAGCTTTGTGGTGCAGATGCTTAACGCCTGTCGGTACACACGATACTGGAACCTTCAGCTCGTTCTCAATATAATCGGTCGATGCCCCATTTGCATAAGCAGTCTGCACCAAACCCAAGCGCAAGTTGATTTCACAGCTCTTGATCAAATCCATGAGGTATCCCGCAACCAGTGTGGCAATTCGATCACCGTCCAGGAGATGGAACTGTCCACTATCGTCAGTAAAAAAATACACGACTCGGTCGGCATCTCCATCGACGCTAACACAGCGTGTGAAAGGTTCAACTGAAGGCATGCTTTTAGGTGGGCGCTGCTGAACTTTTACATAATCCGCTCCACAATCTTCATTGATTTTCCCGCTACCAATGCCCTGATTTATAACCGTTATGTCGAGAGACTTGTTCATACGTTTTATGAACTGCAACATCTTCCGAGCACCTACTCCATTAGCACCATCAAAAACAAGGTAATTACGATAGTTCCCTTTCTCCAAGCACCCATCACGCAGTTCTTCAAAAGCTGAGATTAGTTTTTTATAATATCCCTCTTCAGTGGGCTTTCCATAGGCCTCCTTTGTATTTGCAGAAACGACAAAGTAATGCATCATGGGCGTAGTAACGATTCCGAATTCTCTCACGTTTCCTTTCAAGGCTATGACACCATCTGAGACTGCCTTTAGCAGACGTGGACTGTGATATCGATTATCCATGCCGACATATACATGCGAACTGGATGCAACATCTATTTGATTGTCCTTAATAATTTTTGCCACCTGTTGCTCCAAGTCTTGGTCGCTTACGTTAACTAGATCTGTAGCTATAGTTTCCCAGCTTGGCTCCAGCATTTCACCTTTGGGATCAATTAACTTAACTCCATTGTCAGGCTCTGGATTGTGCGATGCTGTTATCATCACTCCTATAACAGAGCCACCGCGAAACCTGGAGCGTAGAGTTGCAAGCACGCCCATCCTGAACATAACACTGTCCAGGAATTCGGCTCTGTTAAAAAAAAGAGTTTTCGATCATTGCAATATAAACAGTTATGATTATTCAAAAAGCAACTTGACAAAATATTCTGCAATATCATAATTATATTATACCAACTGTTTGTCACATTGAAAAAATTTTGGGTACTAATAAATACATACATATTTACATATATGTATGTATGCTCCTGTGTTAAAACTACAATTTACAGTTTGAATTCCTTTGAAAGACAAGAAACAATAAAGGAAATTAAACGATACATTTATATTTTCACTTCCTACTAAATGACTAAATATAACAGAAACTTATATAAAAAACTAGGGCCATCGTAAGGTGCATGTTCATTGATAAAAATTGTAAATAACATTTAAAAATAGATAGGAATGTCGCAAGACAGTGCAACAAGCTCCATTACTCATCTCCTATCTCTACCCGAGTACAAAGCACACCCACAAGCAAAATACACAGTTTATAAATACATATGTATGTACATACATATGTATATACACATGTACATACTTTAACATGCGGGTGGGTGGGTCACCTATGTAAGTATATAAATGAGAGTTGTGTGAGCTGACTTACTTGCCGCGAAAACCCGCCGTTCCATACTGGATGGGTTCCGTTGTTATCTTAGGATACATTTCCCTGGCGAATGCGTAAACAGTTCGCAAATTAATAGACATAACTAGGCAGAGTTTTAAATACAGGGATATATGACAAACTATGGTGAGAAAACTAGTGCCAGGTGGCACTTACAAGAGCTGCGGTAGCGTTACTGTTAAACCGGTCGCGGAGCACAAATCGCAGCTTTCACTTTTAGGTGGGAAAACCTGCTAAGATCGTGATTTGAGCAAATAAATTAAAAATGAGGGTGCAACGCCAACGAAATTGGCTAAACGTAGGCTGCAGCTGTAAGGCTATCGCAATCTATCGCAGTTCACAAAACCGATTCTTATCGCTATCGGAAATATGACGGTTTCTCGTAATCGAATATAAAATTGGGCTAGCATAGATTAAATATTTTTCTTGGTAGAATTTGGTTTTATTATTCAATACAGTTGCCCCCGGGGGCTATACAACGATTATAGCGGTCATACAATTTTAGGATACAATTTTTATAGTTGGATTGGTCTTTAGCCTCAAAATGGCTTCAGTTTCGGCGATTACCGTTCAGCAGCCCAAAATATAAATCTTGAAAAAATTACAAAATGCGGAATAAAGCTAGAGGTATTTTTAAAAAGCTCGCAATATGATTTCAAAAACAACCAGTTTTGACGGGAAAAAAGCCACAGCAACATTGCTGTCGGCAAAATCCGAGTCGTGCGAGCCGGCCGACAGAAGCCGAGTGTTCGTACGCGCCAGGCAGGCATATGTGTGAAATTTGTATGATGGTATGCGTGTGCATATATATTTCATTTCATTCTGTATCTACTCCCTACTCAGTTTTAGCTTGACCCAGCTGATTTGCCTTTTTGCACAGTGGTATCTTATACTGTTTTTAAAGATCTGTGGCGTTGTAACTTAGCGTAATTTAATGGGACTTTACTACCTATCATTATTTATTACCATACCAGTAAAACATTAGGCTTAAAAATCGTGTTTAATGTTGTTATAAACATGATAATCTGGGAAAAAACCAAGAATTTTTGAATTTAAATTAATTGGCGCTTGTTTATTGCTGTATTAAAAAATGCAACTTGTCCGTAAAATCTTTTATTTCATACAAATGTATATATTGTGTAAAAAATATGAACAAAGTTGATACAACATTAATCTTAAATAATATTTTGGACGGAATTCATAGGTTTAATCAGGACAGAGGGTCGAAAATATTGACTTACATGATTTATGGACGGTCTTTACGTGTAAATTTACATACATATGCATGTATGTATATATGTATATCAAAAGGGATTGGCGTCTACGCCATTACATTAAAGGCACTCGGTAATGACCCGTATTTGTAGTGTGGGTCTTAACTATTAACTAAATTATTAACCCTATCGTACGAGTTGAGTGTAAGACGGAACGTATAATAGAAGATATGTATGTCATTTGTGCTGGAGATTCAAGTATATAAATTTTGAGTCTTACTTAAGATAAATAAGGTGATGGTACCACCCTATCTGGAATGTTTAAATAATGCGCTCAATTCATGACAGAAGTAAACAAGATATTACCGTTCAGTGATTTTAGTCATTCCATCTTCTATGAAATCGCCAAATAGCGTATTTGTGCACACCAATCCGTACCTTGTTTAGTTCTACCGTGGTCCCCACATTTATTTACAGTAGGGACACTATGGATATTGAACTTACTAGCAGCAACATAACAGAAATCACCATCTGACTGGCACCAGCGTAGCAATCCGTAATGCGACGTGCTCGCATGTAGTTATTGCCTAGGTAAATATCGTAGCGTCGTTGGTTCGGTGGTATGACCTGCAATTGTCTTGTCGCGTCCTGAAAGATAAGGTCATAGTGTCCCATAGGTGATGAAAACATACTGAAGCTGAACGCGTCTACGTCCTTGCGGCCATACAGCTGTTGAGCGTACGTGAGCAAGTTGATGTACGCATTCAATTGGGTCTCATTGTAATTGATACCACCACGCGTTACAATTGCATTGGCTTTCACTTTTCCCAAATTGCAACGTTTATAGTCGTACAGTTCGGCACGAGTGCCATCGGTGCAGAGAAGCTCAAAGTCGTCGTTCAGAGCGTTACGAGCCCACCACTCCTTTCGCTTACCGCCAGTACTTTCCATGACCGTGGTGTGCTTCATAAAGGCTACATGACCACCGCCCTCGACAAGGCATCGGAAGGCACCTGTATGTCCATAATAATCTTCGGACGCGTCTCGCCGACAATAACGATAGCTGGTTCCATGGCACAGATCGCACATACTGTCGTAGGGCACACCAGTGTTATATTCGCTGCTGATAGCCCCCGGTACGCACGACTTGGTGAAATATTCGGCGGCAGCGCGAACAGAGTCACAGCCATAGGGTCTGATCCAGCCGTTCGAGATGAGAAATGCCATCGGATAGGTCCAGCCAGCAGCCATATTAATGCCCGTGTGGCAGGTGTACTTGCCCTTGAGATAGGTGAGTTCAGTATCAGGATCTTCTTCCTTGGCTACTGCCACTACATAGTATTCGGGTTCTCCCAAATTGTACACTTCTGACATGAAAGGAACTAGGTCATAGTTCAGTCCACCTGTGTACACATCGCCAGCATCAAATACTGCAACATCAGCTTTGCCAGATTGAATTAGTTGCATACAGTTTATGTGTGAGTGCATCTTCTTGCAGATGAGCTCTGGCTTTAAAATCTGAGCCTTTAATGCGGTCTGTAAAATATGGCATAATGATAAATAATGTAAGCTTTAACTTCATGACTAGCTACAAACCCTCATTTTTATGCATTTCTCCAGTTCTGGCTCTGAAGTCACGCACAATGTCATTGCGGGAACCGGACATTCACGGATACCGTAAATATATTTAAGTGAGTTATGCAAATATTTGCTGAAGGACTGATCATCTTCTGCAATAGGAGTTAGAGCTCTGGCTCCATCCTGTTATGTAAAATAGAGCATGAATATAGAAGAAAAGTTGGTTGGAAAAGTTCTAGTGCAGCTTATATACCTGGAAAAGTAAATTCGATTTGCCGTATCTCTTGGAATCGAATATGCGAAACTTTTCGTATGGGATTGAAGTGTTGCTACCGTCGAGCACACTTCGCTCGGTCGTGAAACTGCTGTCAAGACGATCGCTGCGGTAATTCGTGTTGCCAAAGCTATCGTAAAACTTTTGATCGTATTGATTTTGGGATCTATTGAAAGTGTTGCTGCCGTCGTATGGATTATTGTATGGGTCGTAGGCGTTGTTGCGGCCTTGATCATTATAAGAATTGCGGTCGTAGTTGCTAAAGCCAGTTTGCTGTTGACTGTTGGGGTTCTCACGTAGACCGTCTGAATACAACTCCGCGATGCGTTTCAGAAATTGTTGGAACTTCTTTCGCTCCTCGAAGGTGCGTGCTGACGACGTGACGACTGCATCGGAGGGCACTTGGCCCCAACTGCATTGCCGGAATTCACTTACGGGTACACGACGACCATCACGGCACAGCAATTCGAATGTGTCGGGCGATAAGTTTTCTGTCATTGCAACACATAAATATAAGTAGTGTAACGGAATATGAAATGTACATCCACTTACTGAATTCTGTGCTCTGCAACATTTCGGACACGGTCGAGTGCCGTAAAAAGGCAACATCACCAGCTTCGAGAAGGCAACGGAATGCACCATCGTATCCAAAATAGGGATCAGCAGCCGAGCAACGCCCACCGGGAATTTTGCCAGTGCACAGCGTACAGAGTCTGAGAAGAAGATTGCATGTCTTCAAAATGAAACACTGGAATACACTTAACTCACTTGTCAGAATTATCGCCAATGGGATTGTATTTGTCAGTCAATGAGTACACGGCGCAAGAGTTGTTAAAATAATTGGCTGCAGTCTTAACCTGATTATTGCAGTCTACAACTTCCATGCCTCCATCTTGTTGTAACTGGGCGTAAAAGATTTAATTATATTTGGATATATAAACCATTAATAATGTCGTTTTCCTACCGTATGTATGGGCACTATCCAGCCTGCCAGACTGCCTACCCATGGAAAGCAGGCACGCTTGTTACGAAGGTCCCGCAGGCCAGTCAAATCAGGCAGTGTGCCTTTTTTAATGACTGCTACAGACTGATATTCGGTAAATCCTCCTTCAAATTTCTCATGCATAATCGGAATGAGCGAGTTGTAACGACCCGCAGTGAAAACATCGCCAGCGTCCAGTGTGGTAATGTGCGCTTTCTCCCGATCTATGTGATGAATGCATTCGTCCGCGCTATATGCCATAAAGCATGTAAGGTTCAGAAATGCATCATCAAAGAGTGCGCGGTCCCTTTCAATGGCTATGGTTAGGTTTTGGCATTTGTATTGCTCCTCGTGACTTTTGGTGCACCATATAATATTGCTTGTTTTATGCTCATCATAGTGGTGTTGACCTAAAATATTAAAAAAAATGCGATAATTGGGTATATGTTACAGTAATATAATTATATCAAAAATTTGTTGAATTTTCGATTGCTCATTTGATACAACGCCCAAATGTGTCACGCCGTCGAAGACTTGAGACGCCACAAAAAACATACCGTGACTGGCAGGTAACTGAAAAGCGATCGCGAACGCAATGAAAACTAATGTTCTAAACATGCTGCCGCATAAAGATAACTTTGAAATTAAACTAAAATAAAATAATAGCAATACACCTTAAACAATACGCGTCGACGACACGCCCAGCAACTTGCAGCAAATATATCGAATCTATCGATTACTGGCTGTTATCGGGGTTTGTTTATGTTTTGTGTTGATAGCGTGTTTCGTTTCCATGTGCATATTGGCGTTTGGCATTTTTGTGCATCAAACTGTTGTACGCTTATAGGTGGTTTTGTAAGTGGAAGATTCTTTGATTTATATAAGAAATGCTTGCGATTTAAATTGCACAGCGCAAGCAATTTGTACAAAATAACTAAGTAGTGTTTTGGTTTCTAGATAGAATGGCAGTACTTCGCGGCTGGAGATTTGTGGCATTCGTTTCATGCCTCGTCGGAGCTGTTGGCTTTACTCTTTACCCAGTTATAGTGGATCCCATGATGAACACTGAGAAATACAAGTCCTTGCAGGAATACAGCAAAATAAAACGGGACGAACTGCAGCATAGGAATATTAAATAGTTAAAGCAGTCAAACAACCCCGTTTGAAATGTTTACATCCACTATGCTACGTCTTTAAATTTATTTAAATGTTAAAATTTGTTGGCTACAGACATAATATAGTTTTATATATGCATTTGTATGGGTTTATTTTAATATGCAACATTTGTTTAACGAAATTGAACACACCGTATGTACATATTTAGAAATACCGGGTGTGATTGCTGGAGCTTTTTCAAAGTGTACATGTTCCATTCCATGACCGATCAGCTGATACAGATAAGGTCGTAGCTACGTGGTAGCTGGAGGAATTTCGTGTGCAATTGTTGTATATTAATCATTCCATTTCGTATTGTTAAAGCGGATAGTTTTCAAACTCTGAGTACATCAGAATAAGAATGCCTGCCACAGAGCTTAAGCGTGATGAAATTCTATTACTGTTCGATGTGGATGGCACACTTACCTTTCCACGGTCCGTTGTGGAGCCTGAGTTTGAAGAGTTCTTTTATTCAAAGGTAAAGCCGCGTGCAACTGTGGGAATAGTCGGTGGATCGGACCTGGAGAAGATGTTCGAGCAGCTTAATGGGAAGCGGATTTTAAACGAATTCGATTTCATATTTCCTGAAAACGGGCTGGTACAAATCGAAAAAGGCAAAGAGGTGGGAAAACAGAATATTATAAAGCACTTGGGTGAACCAACTTTGCAGCGCTTCATAAACTTTGTGTTGCGTTATCTTTCCGAGCTGGATGTTCCAATTAAACGCGGCACATTTATAGAGTTTCGCAATGGGATGATGAACGTATGCCCCATTGGTCGGCAATGTACGCGAGAGGAGCGGAACATGTTTGCGGCTTACGACATCGAACATAAAGTGCGAGAGAAAATGATCGCGAAGCTGAAGGAAGAATTCGCAAACATTGATCTTCAGTATAGTATTGGAGGTCAAATAAGCTTCGATGTTTTTCCGCATGGATGGGACAAGACATATTCCCTACGACATATTGAGGCCAATTACAAGTTCAGGGAGATTCACTTTTTTGGTGATAAGACTGAGCCGGGCGGTAATGACTATGAGATTTATACTGATCGTCGTACTATTGGCCATAAAGTGTCAACTCCAAACGATACTAAGCGCATACTAACCGAGTTATTAGGTCTGTAAGTACTGCTCCGGGCAAACAAGTTGTTGAAACTATAAAACTTTCCACATTACAAGTATATAGTATATCCTAAAAGCGAAAACGTTTATATAAATATTTTTTTTCAAAAGACTAGGCATTTCAATATTTTTATTATTCATGGGTTTCTATGTAAACGCGCTGTTGTATTTTGAAAATATATTGTAAAAACTTGAATTGTCACCTTAAAGATGTAATTAGTCGGTATCCATTTCGGAATCATTGGAACTATCTTCGTCTATGCTGCTGTACTCCTCGTCAGAGCTACTGCTCTCACTATCGACCCAATCGTGAGTATTTTGTTGGTTTGCAATGAGAACCTTCCACTCGTCCAACTTGTGCAGATCCAATGTGTAGAAATCGTTGAGAGTAATCTGCTTATCATCTTCTTCATGCAATCCTCCAAATAAATACAAAACGCCTTTGCAAACGCATAAGCCCGGGCTCATGCGAGGAGATGGGACATTAGTGGGGCGACGGTTAGGAAATAGACTTGGCATAGTGGATACAGAGGGCGTGCTACTACTTGACCCTCCAACAGTCATTGTGAAAATACCATCAGTAGTAACTGTTGATTCGACCTTTTCCGGACTAATGATTGATTGGTTTTCTGCCATTTTGGTACTGGCACTAGACTTCTGCCCTATTTCAAGCAAGCGCCAAGATTGTGCTGTTAAATCCAGTGCGAGCAAGTCGTCGCCAAATTGTCCTTGCACGTCTTCGTCGTCCTCGTTTACATCCATTACACCTCCAAAGCAATATGCCTTCCCATTCGGCGCAGTAGCGCATCCCACGCTGCTTCGAGGCTTTGGTTTGTAGCCACTTGGTTTTACCGAGCTCCATTTGTACTTATCAGCACAACTTTCTGTAACATTCGTAAAAAGTGGAGTGAGTGATTTGGCTAAGTTAAGATAATATACATTAAAGTTCTTACTATCTGGTGTGAGTGCAAACATGTCCGTATGAGTGACGCCCCGGTCTATATCCTTTTTCATGCTAGCTTTGGAGTAGCCACCCCAAATTAGGATTTTGCCATCTGGTGCTGCAGCAATACAACATCCCGAGCGCACTGAGGGTACAATTGCACCACCAACCTCGATCTTTACCCATGAATAGCTTTCTAATGAAAACACATGCACGTCGTTGAAATAATTGTAGGTGTGATTGTTGTCGTGGAAGCCACCAAACACAAAAAGCCGCTTCTTAGAAGCCACCATGCGGTGGCCGCTTCTCGCACTTGGCCCATTAGGTGCAGGAACTTTTTCCCACTTTCTTGTCTTCAAACTCATCATCCAGAGGTCTTTGTAGTGGTAGAACTGTAGCTGTGAAGGACTTGCATGTTCACCGCCATAGAGCTTATGAATAAAAAATTACAATAAATTAATTATTAATTACAATTAAGTTCCGACTTTCTTGCACATACCCACAATTGACCTCCATCGGTGGCAACAGTTACCATTTGATGGCCACTCCTTGGAGTTGGTCCTGAAGGGGAACGCAATTGCTTCCATTCGTTGCGGCTAATGTTGTAGAAATATAAATCGTTGTAGACGCAAACTTTGGAACCATTATAAAATTCGCCACCAAACATAATGAGTTCGTCTTTCTCTGGATGTGACACTAATGTGAAACTAGAGCGCGGGCTCGGCGGTTGACACACCTCTTCCAATATCGCAGTTCTTCTGGCCTCTTCATCCTCCAATTTTCGCACAATATCAGCAATGTCAGCCTTTAATAAATACAATAAAGTGAGTAAGTTCTGGCTAGTTTATTTCACTTATGTGTGTGCATACCTCTCCAAGCTTTTCCAGCATTTTCTTTTGCTTCGCTGCAAGCTTTTTATCAGTTTTCATTGCTGTTTTTTCAGCGCCTTTCCCCTTTTTCTTGTTTTTGTCCTTTTTACCCATTTTGAAGAGAATTTATATCGTGCACGTGTATTTCAAATAATTTATTTTTGACTGTAAACAAATTCCATCTGCGACACCAGGGATGACAATATAGAAATAAACCGCTCGTTACTTTTTTGAAAAAGCAGTTACATAGCAAGTAGCAATGGTGTTGTCGTCGCTTTTATTTAAAATAATACTCATACGTCGTTTTTAGACGTCGATTAAACTACAGGAAATGTGGGTATATATAATTTAACGTGCTTTTGGGAATAAAACTTATAGTTTCAAACACTTTTTTTTGCAACCTGTTGCTTTCCAACTGATGTTGATTTGAAGTGGAACATGTTAATTTGGAATACCACGTTGTTAAAACTTTCATTTACCAAAGCAGTGTTTAATTGAATTATGAATATATTATGTCTTGAGTTAAAAACGTTTATTGGGCTTACATATAAAATTATACATCTCTGCATGTACTTGTAATAGTTTGTTGTACTTTGTGTATACAAATGTAGGTATTAGTGTTTTAAAATTATATTAATTTAATCAATTAGCCCGTACAGTATATGAGGAAATGTTTTCCATTTTTGTAAGTAAATGTAATGTAAAACAGGGTATAAGAAGTAACTAATACTTTTTCAATTTCAAGCTGTTGCTGCTTAACGAGTTGGGCCCATTGACCGACCAATTCGAGTCGAAACCACAGGCGCTATCTGAATCGGAATCGACTGCATTCACAGAGCCTATACTTATTGGGGCGCGAGTCTGATGTGGCGTTGTCGGCATACTGCTATAGCCTGAATTGAGATTAGAACTAGAATTGGACGAGCAGATCGAGTCCCTTGGCGAATCGGTAGTATTTGAGGCATAGGATGATCGTTTGGGGGATCTATATCGCTTGGCAAGTAGATCTACCGTTTTAGGTGGAGGCATTAAATCCTCCGGGCGGCGAGTGATATTGTCAGCGGAACCCCACGACTTGTGAACCACATCGTAGATACTGCTGCTAATAGGAACACTCGCCCTTGAGCCCAGATGGCTGTTTGTTCCGTATAGTGTTGTCGTCGTCACTCTCTGAGCCAGCGGTCGATTCCGTGTCGTACCAGTGAGATGAATATGATGATGTTGATGAGGGTGTCGGTGAGACCGCTGGCGATGGGGATTTGCTGCCCCCATAGCCCCGCCAGCGCCAGCTGCCATCGGCGCTTGTCCATTGCCATTGCCATTCCCCACTCCCAAGAAGTTGCTGAACGCTTCGGTTGTTTTCTTTACTCGAACATTCAGGGAACCAATCCGCAGGAAGCCCGAATCTTTTTCGGCTAAAAATCACACAAAACATTGAATAAATAAATCACAATTTAAAATCAATAATTGATGGGCTTACTTGCATGCTTTTTCCGAGCCTTGATTTCTGGAAAGGGCATAGAGCAAACAAATACTTATATATTATTTATTTATTAAGATATGTTGAAACAAAATATTGTCGATGTCATGTATGTGCATGCAAAAAATGCCCAAAAACAATATAAAAATTATAAAAAGTGTTTTCGCCATTATAAATGAGCAGATGATTTGAAAACACTATCAGGCATGTGTCGAATCCTTCCCGTTGCATCTCGATTTAATAACAAATACATACGTAGATTAAGTTAAGTTAAGTGCATTTTTGAAGAGGGGGAATAGAAATTCGAAACATTCCTGATAGGTAGGACAATAGGAAACTTACCAAAATATTTGATTTCAAAGGCATCAAACCAAACAAGGCAAAAAATAAAATATAACAAATACGTATGGCAAATAAGAAAGAAGCGCGTATATTTTACATTGCTTAATTACGTGGCTAAAGAAATTAAAATCAAATCAAACCAATATATGCAAGGGGAACTCAAATATTAATCAATGCAAATCGGTTGAAAATGCTCAAATTCGTGCAATTTCTCAACTTGCCTCCAGCTGCCGTTGAGTCCGCCGGTGCAGCGCATCGCTTGAATCTCTAAATGTGATAACGATTGAAATTAAATAAAAGAGAGTCCCGAATTTAGACAATTGGATACAATTATAGATTATGCCAAAGTTCATGTACGATTTAGTATTTCATGGGGTTTGATTGTCCACGAGTGTACGATTTTAAGAGTACATGTATATTCGCCATTATGAAAAGCCCATGCATTAGATATGCTGGCAAGCTCTATGAAGAATTGTCGAATGTTCTGATGAAGGATTGTATTCATGGTATTAAATGACGTTCAAGAACTGAAAGCGAGCGATACGTTCTTCGGATTCAAGCAGAGTTTAAATCGGGTGACTAAAATACATATATTAGTTTGGCTGTTGACTGCCCCTGGTAAGGACATTGATTATTTGTAAGTTGGTTTTTAACTTTAAAGGTATTTCAAAGTTTATTCTCCAAATCGCCAATAACAAAAGAAACATGCGGTTAGTTATAAAATTACTTAAGCTATACATATTGATACACAACTGCCAATTCCCAGTTCGTGGGTTTTAATTAAATAAATTCAAGTAATTAGGGAAGGTAGTGCTGGAATTATTTTTCGGTGGGTGGGTTAGTAACAACATCTTTAGTGGCTCGGTTAGCGCCGGCAGCGGATCGAAACGTTTTGCGAAGAAAGCTCTTTTTGCGTCGGGAAGAGGGGCTACGTAGAGTGCCAAAATTATCCTTTGAAGATATTTCGCCCTTAAAGCTATTCAATGGCTCTTTACCATCAATAGTAAGCGATTGCATATCTTTGTTATTGTTGTTGTTCGGCGGCGATATAATATCGCACGGCACCAGGTCAGTCTCCTCTGCATCGGTCGTGAACAATAGAGACGGAATGGGTGCCTTTTTTGGGCGTCGCGATGACGTCGTTACCAATAAGGATTGTGAGCGGGTCACGGCAGCCCCTCCACCCGATCCGTCACCACTAACAGTACCGTACCATAGTTGGGAGCGTTTCTTGCCACGTATCAAGGCGCTGCCGAGCGTGCCGCCTGTAACTTTTTCGGAGTCGCTGGGCAAAGGGAGCTCATAGTGTGCAGACCCAAGGTGATAGTTGTTGTTAAGTTCCGTGCTGGGGAAATGTTTGAGATACTCACTGCTGCAGGTCGAGGCCGATACACTCGGTCGCTGGAGGCTATAGTCCAGCGGCTTGTTGCCACTACAATCCATAATGTCTCGGTTGGCCTCTGTAGGACACAAAACAATTTTAATAAATGATCATTTGTTGTTAATAAAATACGTAATTATTAAAATACAATATTAAGGGAATTGGGTCTCTTAAACTGTAATATTAAATCAAGTTTAAAATTGGCGCTTTACATCAATATATCGATTGTTTTATATCTTCTTTACATATTTACGTTTATGTAGAAAAATAGAGTTCCTAAACTTTTTTATACATCGTATCTATCGTATCTAGGGATATAAAAAAACATCGATGTATCGATTATTCATGATTTGTTGGGCGATCACATTTCTTTGTGTGGTTTACCGAAGAAGGTATATTTTTATTATAAATTATTTGGAGTTTTCATTAAAATGCGTATTTTGTAATATAAATTTTGATTGTTAACTATTTGATCTTAATTTTTTCGTATACAATGTCACACTTATAGTAATATGGCCTTTTAGAAATACATGTGGCATATTTTCCGCTTTTTGTAATTTTGCCAATTATTATGGAAAAAAATATAAAAGTGCCAGCTTTATTATTATTTGTTATCAATATTGTCAAATGACACTGCTATTTTAAACCATATTTATCTCAAAATTTCACAGTGCTTTTTTACGCTTTATTATAATATGTTTTAGCTTTATTTTACTCCTCTACCTATCAAAAACAGTTTATGTTTTCTTCTAAAAAGTAGGCAACACTGTTGCAAACATACACATAGTACCTGCTCTAAAATATGTACAATACATACTACTTTTTATGCTTATTTAAATATTGCGATTACTCTGTAACCTTTTTTACTGGGTAATGGATTTTCAATACCATGGAATACATTATTGTTAAGAAGTGCTAAACGATGTTTATGTCTATTTTTTCAAATGCATATCATGTACTCATCTCAATAGTAATATAAATAAGTAATGATCAGGCATGTACATATCTCTGAGATATGGCGAAATGGTTTTACTTACTATAAACATTCCAAAGGAGTTCATATATATTGTCTCTTCCAAATTGTATCGCTAAATGAAGTGGTGTATAGCCCTGAAAATAAATGATAATGATGTATTTGCATAAAATTAAATTGAAACAAATACTTTTGCATATTAGAGGATAACTGCGGAGCATCTACATATATGTTTGAGATGATTGTTCAATCATTTGAAACTGCATCTTGAGCTCGATTTATGCTTTCAAGGCGGAAGTCGATCTTGCCGATCTTTACTGGATCGCTAGCGATTGTGTTAAGAAGTCTTGATTTTGGAAATACATGTTTGAAATTAGAGATCTTTGCTCGGGCGTTAGTTGATCTGCCAAACCAAATCATATTTAAGCGCTAGAGTCTGAGGCGTGAAAGCCCCTTATTGTCGTTTTTAAAACCAAATTAAATCGAATGGATTGAGAATGTTGGCAAGGGTTAGCTATTCAGAGCGTTTCCAACTCACATAGACATCGAGAGCGTATCAAATCAGTTGCAAAACGAACATAACGACAACAAGAACAAATGTAACAAGTTTCGCCGTGATTGACAACTCACTTTGTCTCAGTTTTGCATTTGATATTTGGAAACATTAAGAGATTCCGTTTGGTCGGAGGAACAAAGCGCGATTCAATTTAAAATTTTGTAAACTTGCAAGCACAGGCCAAAGGATTTGACGAGGGCAGGGCAGGGCAGGGAGGGGGAGGGAGGGTGTAGATTGTGACACGATTGGATGTGGCCGTCACGATTTGTCACAGCTTGCGGTGCGCCTCCCGGGAAGGGTTAAAGGAGAGTGCGTTCTGCGTTCTGCGACATGTGACGCACACTGACAAGGCAATAAGGCGGCCGATTCGTGCATTATTAAAAGTGGTTCAATATTTTCGACAGAGATGGAATCTGGCTTTGGTTTTAAGGTGTCTAAATTTAAATTTGACTTACCCCATTCTAGCGCAGGCATGGCGAATTGTGTTCATGAAATAGAAGGAATATTAGAACATGGCACGTACATATGGGCCTAATATAGCCTAATAAGTATCTTACCGTTCTGGCATTCACATCGGCCTTATAGGTGCCGGCAATCAGTTTAACGACATCCTCATTGCCATGCTTGGCGGCCCAGTGTAGAGCGGTCTGAAAAGCAAAAGGTTTCGTTAAGTGTCTGGAGAAAGGCCGAACTCTTAGTCCCAACATAGAGGACAACGGAGCAGTGCTGTAGACTTTGCTATCAGCATGAGCATATCTGCCACGTTGCCCTCCTAATGGAGGGCCAATATGCTCCACTTCGCAAACTATTTGTTCGGCCATCAATTGCAGGCGTTGTGCCGCCGACTCCGTGCCAGCAGCGAACCCAAAACAGACCCAAGCGAGATTTTGCGATATAAATAAATTGGCCAAAGCAGCAGTAGTGGCTGTGGCAGTGGCAGCGGCAGCTGGAGCCAAATGCCTCTTGCCTCAATTATTTTCATGTTAACATAATAATTTAGTAAAGGTAAAACGATTCTTATAGCCGAAGCCAAGCTGAAAGATCGCCACCAGAGCGAGCAGTGTAAGATGAGTTTCTATAGAATTGTCTGCGCGGCAGCAATGCAACGAGCCCGCAATGTGTTGACAATAAAGACGGTCACTTTTCGAGTAAGAACCACAACAACAGTAAGACGGACAAGAGCAGCCCTGTCCCCGGCCCCGTCCCGGCCCCAGACTCAGAGCAGAGCAGAGCCAACAAATAGAGTTGCAGCCAATTCCCATAGTCTGTGTGGCGATTGGTATGTAATTCTTTTCAAGGGAAATTTGTTTGGTGTCTCTCTGCAGTGAGAGATGTGACTGGGATGGGATGGGTTGGGATGAGATGGGACAGGAGAGTCGCTGCATCGACGGTACTGCTGGGTTTGCGCTTGCCGCTGTCGCTGCATCTTAATCTGCACTGGCTGGCATTTAATCTCTTCCATTGTCTTGGCATTTCAGGTGCAATGGCCATGGACAGAAGCTGTTTACAGCGAGCCAGACCATCTAATCGGCGCACCGATAGCGGCGACAATGCGACGATTTCGCTTTTGCTCCCATTGGGAAGAAGCGGTGTGGTAACCTGGGATTAAAGGGGGGGGGGATGGGCAAGTGGAACATTTTTGATTTTTTCAATTTGATTACGTGAAGGTTTTTGGCCATACACTCAAACCGGAGTAACGTGATTGAGAGAGAAGATAATTTTGCATTCTAAGACAGATTTGCTTGTACTCCACACATACAAGTACATCCTCAAATATCTCGCAAAGCCAAGCATTTATAAAGAAGTTTCGATTTATTTAGAGTTGCTATCCATTATGATGTAGAAAGGTATAAAATATCCTTAAGACTGTTTGTTCGCGTTAGAGTTAATTTATATTTTAACAAGAGAGGACGCTGAAATACCCTCTACCCAGATAAACTTCCTATCCCTTTCAGACCCCACGCAAAACCACTGAATATTTGTTTATGATTTTTGAAATATATGGTCTTTATATTATACTATATACATCTATACACATATATACATATGCCTACATACAAAAAAATTTTTTTTTTTACATTTCTTTGTTGCTATCCAAAATATTTGAGGCTGTTCATTTATATGTATGTACATACATATATTTGAGGCTGTACATTTATATGTATGTACATACATACATATAAATGTACAGCCTCAAATATTATGGATAGCAACAAAGAAATGTAAAAAAAAAATTTTTTTAACAAAAATGCCGATCCTCCAATATAAACAAATATAATCTCGCTCTCTCTTAAAAATAAACAAATAAAATCTTGAGCTCTCTCCAATGAAAACAAATATAATCTTGCTCTCTCTCAAAAATAAACAAATATAATATTGAGCTCTCTTAAATATAAACAAATATAATATTGTGTAAACAAATATAATCTTGCTCTCTCTCAAAAATAAACAAATATAATCTTGAGCTCTCTCCAATATAAACAAATATAATATTGTGTAAACAAATATAATCTTGCTCTCTCTCAAAAATAAACAAATAAAATCTTGAGCTCTCTCCAATGTAAACAAATATAATATTGAGCTCTCTTAAATATAAACAAATATAATATTGTGTAAACAAATATAATCTTGCTCTCTCTCAAAAATAAACAAATATAATCTTGAGCTCTCTTAAATATAAACAAATATAATCTTGTGTCAACAAATATAATCTTAAGCTCTCTCATTTGTAAGCAAATATAATCTTGTGTAAACAAATATAATCTTGCTCTCTCTCAAAAATAAACAAATATATTTGACCTCTCTCAAAAATAAACAAATATTACCTTAAGCTCTCTCAAAAATAATCAAATAATTTGACCTTTCTCAAATATAAACAAACCCTTATCTCGTTTGATCTTTCTTATCTCGTTTGACCTTTGGTCGTGACGTCACATCCGGTTTCAAAACGCTTAGGTCTTATAAACATTCTTCAAATGTAAATGGAAATATTTTGGACAGAACCTACCCGCACAATTGATGCATCAGGGTCTGAAAGGGCTATATCAGAATCAAATAGAAGAAGAAGAAGAGCGAACTTGATACTGCAGTAAGTGGGCGTAGTACTAAAGTGAAATTGATTCGCTAAAAACTTTCTTAGAATTGACCATTTTGTATGAAATTTGAAAAAAGTAGCTTATGTAGCTTTTGAAATGTGTTAAAATAAATACGTGCCTAGTGACAAGAGTGACTAGGAGCATCCGCACACCAACTTTGTTTAATGTGAGCTCAGCCGTTTCCGATATCCCGGCGCTCATCCAGACGGACGGACATGTCTAGATAGATTTCTCTCGTCATGCTGATTCAGAATATATATACTTTATGGGGTCGGAGATGCTTCCTTCTGCCTGTTACATACTTTGCACAAATTCAATATGCCCTTTTTACCCTACGGGTACAGGGTATAAAAACAAGAAGGGAACAACTCTTAAATATTACATATGTACCATGGCTATATCGTCTTGTTTCGCCATACTGTATTACATACACATTCGCCCTAAGCTAATTAGTATACCCTTTTATCCTTTGGGTAGAGAGCATAAAAAGGGTAATTTGGATGCGATTTTAAAAAGAAACAAGTTCTTTTTTTCGTATGTACAGAGCATGATCTGGATCGAGTGAACATGATTTTTGCTTATCCCCTGTTTTAAATATGGTAAATAAACATTTATGTCTCTACTATCTGCTTGATTGGAGAGTTAATTAGAAATGATTTGTCGTTCTGCAAACCCTTGAGCGGCAGTCGTCGCTCGGCCGATTTGCACCTTGTGAACAGTGATTAATAAATGAGCGATAAAGGACGTAAGACAATGAAAATTATTATCACTCTGTCAGTACGCAGATGCGACGACTGGTTTGCATTTACAAATCGTCTCACGCGCACAGTCAGTCGATGAGGCGACTCTGGCCGAAGTCGCGGCGACAACACGATTCGGTCACAGCCTCTTTACATACGGCACGTTGTCCGTCTGCACGTTTAAATTTATTGTCCATTCCTTTAATGGTGGCAAGGGACAGGAATTCTGTGCCTTTGACAGTGAAATGCCATAAATTCTTGTGTCGCGTTCGGCTGTAGCATTGTATTGCCACCACAAACAAACAGAGCGATTTGCTCTCTGGAGCAGAGCTCCAAGTTGGCGTGGAATCCGCTGTTAGTGGCAATTGCAGGTAGGGAACAAGGTCGCGCAAATGCCATCTTGACGCATTGTAAGGGAATTCCAGGCGCGGTGCAAGCGCTGAGGAGCTGGTCGTGTATCGACGGCACTGTCAGCCAGCCAACCAGCCATCCAACCAGCCAGCCAGCCAGCCAGCTAGCTAGCTGTGGTGTCCATGCTCCTGTTCTGCGCTTGCCTCACGATCATAAAAGGATCTTAGGAATATTTGTCAGTGGCTGTGTCGTCGAGAAACTGCACACAGCTGGATTCCGATTTGGTGAGAATGTCGCGTCGGACCAGGCCTGTTAGTGAATAAGCGCATTGCCTGCCACATTGCCTGCCACATTGCCTGGCCAGCCCGAATCTCAAAGACACATTTTGGCGTCTTTGTTGGCGATGCCAGCGATTACCAGAAGTGAGATGCATATCGCGACGCGTCAAGCCATGCAACATCTGGCTGGATGTGGCAGCCACCTCTCATTTATGCAAGCATCAAAATAGATTGGGCGTTACATAATTATCGGGTGGCGCTTGTGGGCGGGGTGTCTGGGAAGTAGGCATCATGTCGATCAACACATGAGTTCCGAACATCTCCTTAGGTTGTAACTGCACGCCGATGTTGTTGTGCGAATGCTGGACTGGCGCCAGATCGCTCAACATTTTACGAGTTTATCTTTAAGGAGTGCGAGCTTGTATTGTTCGACCAGACGGCTTTAATCTAAAATTAGGAGTCTGCGAAGTTCTAAGGGGCTCATTGCGGGAAGTGTGGAGTCTGTATGGCGCACAAACATCCAGAAATAATTAGAGAGTTGTCTACCTTCGGTTTTACGCGTTTGATCGTGTGTATTTCAGCATTATGGTAAATGGTTTTTTAAATAATCTCAGAAATGGTCGAATTTGAAGAATATACTTTAATAAAGTTCCTTACTCTGCAGTTTAAAAACTTTCAAAGTTTATAAGGTATGCTTAATAACTGAAATATGGAAGCTTTAGCTTAAATATATGACTTCTAAATGCATAGTAATAGGTGGAGTTAAACGCTATTTGACACATAATTGATATCACAGGAAGTGTTGAAGTTATGTTCGGCATTCGGCACTAAGTTTCCTTGTACCTAACGGATAAGGACTACCGTCATTACAGGTTTTGAGTTTTTTTCCATATTTGATTTTCCTTAATTTCCGTAATTCTTGGAATTTTGTACTCGTTCGACAAATACATCCGGTTAGTATTAAATTTAATCTTGATTGGTCAGTGGCACAGAAAGTTATAAAGAAAGTATACTAGTTTTGTGCGAATGTAGGAATGTCAGGATGACAAGTCGAGTCCATTTCTGTACGAAAAAATTTGGACACAAGTTTCCTGTGTAGGGGACTTTAACTTACACCTGGGTTATATACTCTAAGCCTTAGAGTCTAAGGA